TTAATAAAGTCAATGTGTAGTTGAAAGTCAATAGTGTTACTTTAAGGTTAAGTGGAGAAGAAGGAAATTGAATTATTCATTATATCGATTAAAATAATTTTTGTATTTATACAATATATATATTTTAAGGTAATATATATATATATATTTGAGGTATATGTAATTTCATTTAATTGAATATATTAAGTGAAATTAAATAACATAATGGAAGAAGACTATAAGAGATAGAATTTGTATGTAGAACTTATATTATTAGATATAAATGATTGCATGCAAAAAGGACAAAAGTTTAGAGTAAAAAATATATCCATGCATGCTTAACTTTGGAGTGAATACACGGTTAAACAAAAAGGAAGAATGAAAGAAAAGGTGCAAGAGTTAAAGATGTCCTACGTAGTTATAAACGCCAATATCTATTGGCAGCAAAGGCAGGCAAAATTTTAGCTTCCATTGGAGAATCCTCCAAGAACCAACCTCAACCACAAGAGCTCAAAAACAATTCGGTTGAAGTGAAGAAAATAAAGAAAGAAGGTTTGGTTGAGTTAGAAAATAAAGGCAAGAATGGTATAGGTCCGGTTAATGCTAAGTGAAGAAGAAAGGAGAAAGAGTAAGCTCAGTTGAATAGGTAAGAAATCATTTGGTTTTAGACCTTAAAATCTAAAGTTCAATCGGTTCAGAGTTCTTTTACATTTGTTGTGACAGCCATTGGTGTCTCGGATTTGGAGGGTTCCTTGGAGTTGTGTTTACGGTGGGTCAACCCATAAAAGGTAAGAGATTTGAGGTTTAAATTTTAAGTGTTCACCATGTTTAGATGCTGGTTAAGAGGAGATGTTTAAATGAGCTAGGAATTTATGAATTTTATTGTGAATACTATTGCAAGGAAGTTAGAAAAAGAAGGATGAGCTTGTTGGAAATGTGGATTAAGGCCTGGAACCAGAGGTTACTGTTGAAGTTAATTAGCTCTTAAAGATTCGGGTAAGCGAACCTGCCAAAGACTTGTAATTAGCATCGACAAGCTCACTAAAGGTTGAATTATTGCTGAGAAATCCTACCAATTGAGGTGAGTGGGGCTTACCTATTTTAAATTATATCTTCTACACTATATCAAATATGTGTATTAAGTTTATTATTGAATGTCATTGTGAAAAACATGTGTAGAAGGAGAAAAATTATTAGTCCATTACTTGCCGTCATGTGAATTTAATAATATCTTAATCATGTAATTAATTATAAAATAATTAATTTATTAGTTGAAGACATATAGTTAAACAAATTCATCTATTGGTATATATTTATCCCTTGAGATTATTTAGAGATAATATTTAAATTAGATCAATCAAAAAATTAGTTATTGGTCATCCAATTTATCTCTAAATAAATCAAAATAATTTAGAGATAATATTTATATTTTGACCAATCAAATATTAGTTATTGGTCATCCAATTTATCCCTAAATAAATTAAAATAATTTGGAGATAATCTTCATATTTTTGACCAATCAAAATTTAATTATTGATCATTTAATTATCTCTAATAATTATATTAATTTAGAAATAAAAATTAAATTAAATTATTTAATTTATCTCCAAATAAATTAAGATAATTTGGAGACAATACCTAACTTAGGCCAATCAAAATTCAAGGACTCAAAGTCCGGCCAATCAAAAGACTTTTAATGAATGATCATAATTTATCTCTAAATAAATTAAAATAATTTAGAGATAATTTAAAGAGATCTCATTCTAATCAAAGTCTCCCACTTAGCATTATAATTTAGAATTTTGATTGGCCGAAGTTAAGTATTGTCTCCAAATTATCTTAATTTATTTGGAGATAAATTAAGTAATCCAATTTGATTTTTATCTCTAAATTAATATAATTATTAGAGATAATTTAAATGACCAATAATTAAATTTTGATTGGTCAAAAATATGAAGATTATCTCTAAATTATTTTGATTTATTTAGAGATAAATTGAATGACCAATAACTAATATTTGATTGGTCAAAATATAAATATTATCTCTAAATTATTTTGATTTATTTAGAGATAAATTGGATGACCAATAACTAATTTTTTGATTGATCCAATTTAAATATTATCTCCAAATAATCTCAAGGGATAAATATATACTAATAGGTGAATTGGTTCAACTATATGTCTTCAATCAATAAGTTAATTATTTTATAATTAATTACATGGTTAAAATATTATTAAATCCACATGGCGGCACGTAATTGACTGATAATTTTTCTCCTTCTACAACATGAACTAGTTAAAACCTTAAGGTGTTGTTGTATTGTGATTTTTTATTTGTTTTACTTATATAGTACGTAAAACTACATAAAATATGTGTTGTAAAAAATAGGAAACAAGCCCCTCAAAATGGTTTAAGTCAAAAGTGCCTTGCAAATTGTTTGTGTTTGTGAAGATTAAGTGCGGTACTTATGGATTGTGAGAATGCATTAATTCAATTGATTTTATTCTTTAATGAGTATGCAGGTTGAATATTAAACCATGCTTGCAAATGATGGCATCTTTTACTAAGTGAATTGTTTAAACTTATCAATTATTTGATTTTATAAGTGAGATAGTTGATGGTAGACCTACCATCACACCAAGCTGTGTGATCTTTGTGAGCAAAGTAGCTCTAGCTCTGGGATGCCTGCGGGCTTATTAATTCCATACGTGACAAAGACCATGGGATTACATGCGTGAGGAGCTCTACTTATTGCTATCACCCTCGATCATGATCATGGTTACATTGATACGAGGTAATACCACAAGTTTTAATGACATGGCTGTGGCCACAGGTTAGTGTAGTTGGACATACTTATTACATGGGAGAGGGCCAGCGGGTTTAAAGATCTACTTAAGATTTGTTTCCTTTACCTATTTTAACATTGACTATGGCATCTGTTTATTTCATGGCAAGAGCTTATTGTATTTGATTTGATTAAAGTCTAAGCATGTATTTGATTATGCATTGAAACTGTTTTATGCTTGTCATGAGAAAGGAATGAAATTGTGATGTTTAGCATGCTTTCACTTGATTTGGCATATTGATATGGTTTTGATGTTTCTAAGTAATTGATTTTTTTTTCTAGTGATTTTAATCATTTAATGATTTAATACATGCAAGGTTGTCCCCTTCAAGATTATGGTTTAATTGTAGCTAGTCTTGTACCATTTTATATTCAAATGTTCCCTTCTTAATGCTTGTTTCCCACCTTACCTTGCTCACTGAGCTCGTGAGACTCATTTTATTATTTTATTTTTCTGATAATGATTGGCTTAGTGCAATTTTTGGCAAGTTTTCCTTCCACCACGGTGAAGGTAATAGCATCTCATAATACCTTTCCCTGTGTCCATACATCTCCTAAAGTTCTTTATGTTGATGTTGTGTTTAGGTTAGTTATGTACATTGAAATTATGTGAAATGTAATCTAAGTATTAAGTTTATATTTTAATGAGATGTATGGACAAAGATGTTTGTAGGTACTTGTGTTTTAATTTAGGTGTGACTATTACTTGAATATGTTTAAAATTAATTAAGCATATTATATGTTTGGAATTAATTATGCACTGTGATGTTAACGGTTAAGATAAATTTACAATACATAGAGAAGAATATAATTATACTTTGTTATCATGAGACATACCTGTTTAGGTAAACACACTTGAAGGTTTAAAACCAACAACTGAATGTTCAGTAATTGATAAGAAAGAGATTTAAATTTAAGGCTGACTTGAAACTTGATGGGTTTGCTCTCTAGATTTGAGTGCCGGTGTATTATACAGTTGGACGGTGCTACCCTTCATTGCATCAGGAAAATTACATAATTATATCTGTATTTATTTATAAAATACAAATAAGTATGAAATTGTGAATTATTGAGCATTTTCATGAATAGAGTAAAATTTTGAATTTGTATATTCTTGACTAACGATTTAGTTAATTAATGGATTGGTACCTCTTGAAGAGTTTTAATAGACTATAAACTTTCAATATTTGTGTTACTTTATGGTGTGTGTCACGTTGTGATATTAGTGTTGATGGTGCTGCCTTCATTGCGTCGTTGAATCGATAAGCCACCATGACTAACCCACTAAAGCCATGTTGTCCCCTTCGTCTGTTCATCATGTTGACTGTTGACCAACCCAATAACTGCAGTGTCTTGTATGCATGGCTGGCCCGTTGTCGAACTCTTGTTGACGAACCAAGGTGCTTGCCTACCCTTAACCCATATATCCTGATCCTCTTTCTGGCACCAACAACCACACACAAATTTAGCATCTGTTAGACATAGCCAGAGCTTTGTTTTGCATGCAAATACTTTCTTCCCCTTTTTAACGGTCCTTAGCGTCATACATTTAGTGGTAATTAACTGACTTCTTAATGAATGTCCTAAGATTTAAATAAGCCTTTCAAATTAATAAAATAGATGTTATTGGATATTTTTTACAAAAAAAGTTATTGTTATATAAACCCTTTGTATCACGCATCTATTTATGTTAATAAATTAGGTATAGCATATCATTTAAATTTGTCATATGAGCATATTTGGATCACATTTTTATGAATATTGTGAATATATTAATTTTAAGCTGTAAATCACGTATTTATACTAATACTGTATTTTTAAAAATTGTGTCAGCAAGCCACATAGTTTAATTTGTTTAATTAATAAGATTTATAGCTAATGTAATAGATATGATCTATGTAATGCAGTAGATTATCTATTTTAAGATTCGATCAGGTGAGAACAACTCAGTCAATGCCAAAATCAAAGATTATTGAAGTTTTATCACCTTCGCATTTCCTTCTACTTCGAGGCCATGGTCTTGAAACATATAATTTGGAGAAGATATATATAGACGGGCGAGTAGAATACCAATTTATTATATTGAACAGTCATACAACATTCTTAATTTCATAGCTAAGAATATATATAGGAAACAGCAAGAACAACAAGCACTTATTAACATCCGAAATTGGGAAAAGCTAGTAAGGTGCAACCTGGAACGTGCTATTCACGCAACTGGATAGGAAGCTCTCTTGGCGATGCCACAGAGACCTTTTTTAGAATGAACATCTCTCTTAATCCTCATGTAGCCATTTTCACCCCATGATTTGCCCCATGAGTTCTTGATTAGCCAGTATTTGCTGCCATCTTCACTTGTTCCGTACCCAACAATGGTAACAGCGTGGTTTAAAGACGTGCGGCATCGTCCTGTGAAAACACCTCCTGAGTAAAACTGAAACGCAGTTCCACTTCCATCGAGGGCTACCGAGACAGGTTGCTGGCTTGCAGCCTTTAGTAGTGCTTCTTCCTTGTTGTGAGGTACATCTTCATAGCCTATGATCTGCACGGCTTTGATAGCTGCTTTCCGAGGGCTGCAAGTTCCGTCTTTTTTCTTGTATGGGTATCTTGTTTCCTCGGCGAGACCTTGGTTTTTCACAATGTATTCAAAAGCATCATCCATCCAACCACCTTTGCAGCCATGACTTCCTTTCGTTCTGATGCAGTCCACCAGTTGCTGCTCAGAGAGTGAGAACAACCGACCAGTTTTAATCTTTGCGATACCTTCCACAGCTGCAACGGTTGAGAATGCCCAGCAACTTCCTGGATAATAAACAAGTAAAAATAAGTTAGAACAGATATGCAATTAACGTGCAAAAACTAATTATTTTAACAGCTTGTAGAGTTTTGGACGTGATGGTTTGATTCCTTACCACAACGACCTTGGTTCTTAATTTGGGTGACAGCCTCTTTGTTCCTCCAATCAATGCTAGGTGGGACATTGGTCAGGTTTTCATATTTAAATCTTTTAGTTTTGGATGAAACTGTGATAGGAATCATCTTGTAGCCAGCATAGTATGATAGGAATTCTTCGTTCGTTAAGTCTGCAAATTCATTGATGCTTAACTTATAAGGTTGATTCCCTATGTTGTTGAAGTTTTCTATATATTCCAGGTTGTTTTTGAAAACCTCAAAACGCATATTCTCCTCTTCCTTCATCTCATAGGTGCGTCCATGCTGAGCCATCCATTGCTTGTATTTTTCAGCAACGACTGTTTCACTCAATGTGCGGGACATGGCAGATGCCAGAGCCCCGGAAACAATCAAAATGAAAACGAGAAACTTATTTTTGAGTGCCATAGCCATTGCTCAGAGTTTTGCCAATGAGTATAGGTATTTTTAAGTGGCTCTGAAGAAGTGAAGAAGCAAAGCATACGAGCTATTCTATTTATAGATGATATCCGGTAGCTAGGCCCTTTAGATAAAATTTCCTTTTTCTATCATAAATTTAAAAGTAAAATACGCATAACTCTTCAACACTTAATCATAATTTCATGTAAGTCTATTAATTTTTAAAATAAACACTTTATCTTGAAACACTATCTTTGTTGGACACATAAGTCTAATTGTTAATCAATTCCGCTAATTTGATGATATGTTAATAATAAAAAGATAATTTTACTCTTCATTAATTTTAAAAATTACAAAATTATAATTTTTCAAAAAAAAATAAACCTATCTTACCTCCATCAACCTGCCACTCTTGACCAAATGGATGCTCTCCCGAGATCACCAATCTGGTGCTCCCAATAAACATTGATTTACCTTTCATTAATTTTAAAAAATATAAAATTATAATTTTTCAAAAAAAAAAAAACCTGCCTTACCTCTGTCGATTGACCACTCCCGACCAAATGAGTGCTCTCCAGGAAGCATTCTAGTGCTCCTCGGGAGCGCCCATCAGGGTACTCCCAAGGAGCACTAATCTGGTGATCGACCGAGGTAAGTAAATATTGCCGATCAACCAAAAAGAAAGAAAAATGTAAAAACCGAAAAATGATATTTTAGATATTTTATATTTAAATGTTAATGGTGTTTATATGTTTGAGGTTAAGTGTTCATTTTGAAAATTAATGAATTCATATAAAATTATAATTAGAAGTTAAGAAGTTTTGTGTAATATACTTTAAATTTAAATTTAATGATGATTAAAGCAATAGTGTGATTTGAATTCCCCAGTGCAGGTACGAAGTTGACGAGTACATCAAAACCTGGCCCGCAATGCACGAAACCAAATTTGACTGCTTTATTTCTTCGTCTTGTCTTTCATACGTTATCTTGGGATTTGTTTGGAATATATGGGTGGAATGTCATAACAAAATTAGAACCTTTTTTCTGTCCATTCACAAGAAAAGGATAACAAGGGGATGAGTCGTAAAAATGGTTCTTTTTTCTGTTTTTTCAAAGGCATGTCTGATCTATGGAACAGAATAAAGTGTAGAAATGGAATAATTAGTATTACATATTTTGACTTATTTAAATGAAGTATATTAAGAATGATAGTTTACCTATTTGGTCATTAGTTCAAAGAATATATAGGAATTAAATGTAAGGCACTAATTTAATCGATTAAAAAATTATATAGGTATAATATCTAAAACAGTTTTTAAATTATTTTAAAAAATTCAAATAAGAATTTTTTATTAAGTTTAATCAAGCTTTTTTATTTTTATTTTTAATCATATAAACATACTTATGTTATTAATTAAAATACCACTTATTAATTTAATTTTGAAAATAGCCAAATTGATTGATTTCGATTCCTGTATATAGTTCACACCAAGGTGGAGTGTTGTCCCTCTTGATGTGCTTACCGTATCCCTACTTTAGTTGGGTTTTTTTTTTTTGTAATGATCCTATTTAGTAATTAAATCTCAATTTTGTCTTATAAAAATATATTATTTGTTATTTTTATGTTATATGATATGTTGAAATGATATAATAAACAAAAACATAACATATTGATGTGATACGATTACATAATCTTTTTTACTTTCCAAACTAGTGATACGAAGATATAAAATAATAAAAGATATTTTAATTAATGATAGTGAGTTAACCGTTAATTATAAAAATTTATTTGATCAAAAATAAAAATATATAAATTTAATTAAACGTAACAAAAAATAAAATTTTATTTAATTTTTTTTAAAGTATTATATAGGAAACCTCGTCTAGAATTTGTTGACTACTAAATGGTACTTTTGCTTCTATGCTATTTTGACGATTAGTGCTAACAAAATGTCAATATATATAGGAAATTTTGGAACCTAAAGAGAGTAGATAATGTATCAAAATCAGATCCTTGAAGACAAATTTGACCATAAGTTATCATCTAGAAGTTCAAAAGTTGTTTACATGACTCCATTACACCTTTGAACGTCAAACATTTTGACAGTATTACAACCATTGGTCGCCAGTAATCCCCTAAAGGATATGATAGGATGTTTCAGATTTTCAATCCCTCACCATGCATGGACCCATTGTCCTTTTATATCCATTAGAAGCTGAAAGACTGCAGTAATGTAAAAAAAAGTTGAGCTTATAATTAATTTGTAACATAAGATTTTCATTTTTTGGCCCAGTATTACTCAAATACTATATTGGGGCTTATTAATTTCTCATAACGTTTTGCCAATATTATGCAGGGATGATTACTTTTACTAGGCAAGCTGGCTGGGTTTCCTACTCGTACTAACTTTTGTTGATAGCAATGATATTGGTATTTGAGATACCTGTAGGTTTACTGCTCACAACTGTAAATGAGTAAGGTTTAGGCTTTGGTCGTACGAGGCAGGGGAATGTTTGCTGGTGGTTTTTTATAATCAGTATGTGAAAAGATGGATAGGTCTGATCTTTATCAGGCCTGGGATTTCTTATGGTTGTACAAAGGAATTCCCTTCCTTGTTATGAATGAAATATAACTTTCAAAAAACAAAGGTCGCACCCAACTTTGGGTGTTGTGGAGTTCCTCCAAACCTGTTGACATATACCTGAATGAACAACTCATCTAAGTGGGCAAAAAGGGGTTGGTTTAAAAGATGGGTGTGGTCTTCCTCAACTTAATTTGGGGATTCATAGAACTTTAGAAATTAGATGACATTTACTTCATAATTTATATCTGCTGGTCAAGCATGAAATAATAAAAAAGAAGGAGCACTTACATATGGTAAGAAGCAACAATTTATTGAATGAGCAATACAACTTAAAACGGTTCAATGAGCATTAACTAATAATAATGTGCATCAAACTCCAGAGCTAAGCAGAGATAGAAATTAAGGAACAGACAGGTTGAAGCTGAAGAGTTTGAACAAACTCTAAAAGCCAATCAGACAAAATAAGTTATAGAGCCTGATGGGACCACTATGCCCTTCCTTTTCATTTACTGTTGGCTCTATCTTTCGTGACTTTGACTGGGGATATTCTAGCCTGCAAGTGTACAGATGATGCTGTCGCGTTGCTTTCTTTCACGTGGCATTCTGTCTCCTGTTATGTTCTGTTCCGCTTCTTCCACACACACACATAGATAATCCGAGGGCCGTGGTAGAGACATGGATAGTGAGCTGATGAGGAGGCTGTCATCACATCACCATATTAATTAGTAAGAAGTACATAATGGAAACACGTGTTTGCGTTTAGTATACATGTTTAAAGCGACCTTTCCAGTTTAAAACAATAAGAAAAGTCTCTTTTTCCTTATCCTAATTGATTAAAGTGAAAATCACTTCCAGTCTTCCGCCAGTTGGTTTAGGTTTTTCATGAATCTTGCTGTTATATACAGAACAGGTATTCCCCCCTTGAGTATCCTCTCTATCCTGATTTTATCATACATATGTAAAGGTAGGATTTCTTTCCTGATTCGTTAGTGCTCAGCGTATACGTTTGGTTTCTTCCTCTTGTAGAGTTATTAACGAATTCCAGGTTGCCCTAGAATATCTGAAAACGCTGCCCTCTACCGATTGCCTTCTTTTCGTAGCTGCGTCCAGTCATTTTTCTCATTACTGAGTATGATAGCTTCAATCAATAAGCGGGACAAGGCAGAATAATCAAAATGGAGAATGAGGAATTGATCAAAAGACTAATTGAGATTTGACCTTTGTTTTGTCAGGTATGAAGTTCCTTAATTTATGTGGCCAGAGGTTAATCTGCAATCAATTTCAAGGAGTTTTGGTCGCTAGGGACGTAGCTGGTAGTATATATTTCAATTTCGGGCCCCTAATTCAAATCTGGCTGCAATTATTATCTTGTATAGCATGATGAATACGAGTCCCGCAACCTCTGAACAACTGTATGCTTTGGAATATGCCTTTCGTCACTCTAGTTTCCAAGCAAATTCAACTATAACTATATATATGATTGTCAAGGGTCTCTAGAAAAATTAATGAAATACAAACAATTAAACGCAAGCAATAATTCAATGAAAAGGAACAGCATCTGCTCATCTCATGCACCTTAGATAATGATAATAGTGCTATAAATCATTTTTAAGAAGAGATTCCACATGTGTCTATCCTTTGCCCCATCAGAGACGCGAATCATGTACTTGCTAGCTGACATCTCGCTAGTTTTGAACTTGGCATCATGTATTGCCATTCATGGCTTTGCTTCCTAATGAAAGCTGTTACCCTCGTACAGTTTCGATTCTGGGTAGTGATTCTTCTGTATGTGCTTGTCCTTTTTTTCTACCAGCAGTTACTATAACATAAACAATCAAAACTTTCTTAGAGGTGATGGTTTGTTTAATTTGAGCAGCTGTTGGGCAATAAATATCAAAATTTTAGGAATCTTGGAAGTCGGAACCTAGTGAATGTATCAAAATCAGGTTCCTAGAAGACAAATTTGACCATTAACTATCATAAAACAAGTTCATTTCGGACTGAATCGCAACACTGAATGTATCAAAATATCTGTATTCGTCCTCAGCTGGACAATGACAGGATACACATCCAGCCGTCTTTCATTTTTTCCCCGAGAAGAAGAGAAAAAGGATACAATGACTCCTTTAACTTTAGGACCCTGAATTTTTTCGGCTTATGCATCCTTATACCATCTACGCAGTTGATTGAAATAACTTGAATATATAAAGTCCATTGAAATTTTATCTACGTTTATAAAGTTTTAAGTTTGGTTTAATTTTTTTTAGTTTAAAAACTATTAGGAAGTTTTTATGAAAAATAATAACTTTTAAAATTAAGTTAAACTTTTGATAAAATAAATTATATAAGTTCTAATTTTGATTAAAATTATTATAAAAGGTATTCATGCCATCTTCAATCACTTAACAAATTAAAGCAAAAAAAAAAATCTATTTCGAATTTATATATGATTTCAGATATTAAAATAAAAAAAATTCATAAAAAAGAAAATATTTTTAAACTTGTATAGTAGTAATAATATTAGATTTTTTTGATGAAGAGAGAAAGCCTTTAAATACTACCTAAATATAGTTTTGAATTTTAGACCTTCTTTTCTCTTAATCTTTGTAAAAAAAAAATCTTAGATTTTACTTTTCTGTTGTTAGGTCTTCTGTTTTTTTCGTTTTTAGTAGTCTTTGTAGAAAGGTAAAGGAGAAGGAGATCATGATTTTGCATTGAAAAAGAGTAATTTGTAAAAAAAAAAAAAGAGAAAAAAATTAATTGAGAGAGGGGTATTTCTTAAAATAATAACATTTTTAAAAGAAGGAAACAGAAAACTCATCTCTGAAGCTTTTTTTTTAAACTTTGTTTTTTAAAAAATTACTTTTGTTAAAATTTTTTGAGAGTGAAGATTTTTTGAGAAAAAATAATTCTTTTAATAAGCTGACGTACTTTTAAAAAAAAAGAGAAGAGAAAACTTTTTTTAAGTTTTTTTTTTAGATTTTATTTTTTAAAAAAATTATTTTTTAAGAGCTTTTTACAAAATTATATTTGATTTAATTTCTACTTTCAAGTAATAAATAAGCTAAATATAAACTAAGCCAAACCCGTACTAAGCCTTTTTATGACCTTCCAAAAGGACTTTGCAAAAACTTATTAGCATTAACTAGAACTTAAGTTTAAACTTTGTACAAAAAGATATGGATATGCCTATTAGCGTTACAGCCTCTTGGTCTGAGATTTGACCTGATTTTAGCTTAGAACTGGGCTTATAAATGAGTCGGATAGATTGAATTTGTTATTCACTTTTCTAAATTAAAAAAAGAAAACATTCTATTTTGATGCTACTGCAAATAAAAAAAAATTAAAAGAACCACAGAGTTGAAGGGCAATAAATTATTATAATGAGCTGAAACGTTTATATTTAATAATTGAGAAGAAATCAGTGCCTCCGGGGTCTAGCTACTCATGCAATTGGATAGGAAGCCTTTGTGGCAAGACCACAAAGCCCTTCCGGAGCATCGACATCTCTCTTGATTCTCATGTACCCACCTTCACCCCGCTTCTCATCCCATGAGTTCTTGATTAACCAATACTTGGCACCATCCTCACTTGTCCCATACCCTACTATAGTCACAGCCTGATTCACTTTAGTCCCACATTCTCCATCAAACACACCTTTTGAGTAAAACCGAAAGGCGGGACCAGCAGCATCAAGAGCAACTGACACAGGCTGGTTACTCGCAGCTTTCAGAAATGCTTCCTCATTGTTTGCAGGTACATCTTTGTAGCCAGGGATACGGGCGGCTGGGACAGATGCCTGATTAAGGTCACAAGTTCTGTTGGCTGCCTTATAAGGGTATGTTGTGTCCCTGGCGATGCCCTGGTTTTGTACAATGTATTCAAATGCATTGTCCAGCCAACCACCATGGCATCCGTCATTGCTAGTGGCGCAGTCCACCAACTGTTGTTCAGACAATGAGACCAAGTTACCGGTCTTGATTTGGATGATCCCTTCTACAGCAGCAACAGAAGAAAATGCCCAGCAACTTTCTGAAGTTCAACAAGCCAGTTCAAAAAGATAGAAAAGCTGTCAATAGGAAAACAAAAGAGAAAGAGAAACAAATTGGGAAGTTCGGATTCTATGGTTTTCTTACCAGATTGACCCTGGTATTTAACACGGGTGACAGCCCCCTTTTTTGGTCCAGTCCATGTTAGTTGGGACTTCTGTCAGGTTCTCATACCTGAAAGTCCTGGACACTGAAGTCTTGGATGACCCGGGGGCGGGGACAACATATACCGGTATATGAAGCCAGAAATTCTTCGTGGGTTAAATCTGCAAACTCATTGGGCCTCAATTCATAAGTCTGGTTTCGCATTTTTTTGAAATTTTCTATGTATTCAAGGTTGTCCTTGAATATTTTAAAACGCCTCTCTTTCTCCGCTTGGTTCTCGTAAGTGCGTCTGTGATGAGTCATCCATCGCCTGTGTTTCTTAGCAATAACTGCTTCATCCAGTGTGCTACACATGGCTTGTGATGCCCAAGTCCCTGAAATAATCAACATTGCAATCAAAATATTTCTTTTGCATGTTAAAACGATCGCGTTAACATATTGCGATAGGTCTATGAGAAAAATATGCTAGGTCACTAGGTACATATATTTATAGCAGAGGAGAGCATGAAAGGCACTAATGTCCTTTTGTGACAAGGAAATTGCTGATGATGGTGACAGCCCACTTGGCCTTTCCATTTGAAGTTGTGAGACCCTCAGTCCTTTTTTTTCCCCTTTCATGGGAGACACGAATGGTGTTTGCTGCTTATCACAATCATGAAATTCCATATCTTCAAAGCCAATTTGAGTGCCACAACTATCCCATATCTGCTTAGATACTGCTTACTTGTACCTTTAACTATCAAATTTGAGATCATCTTGCTGAAAAATGATGTTGTCTGCCTTCTCAGAGTTCACACCCCTGGAAAAATCACAAGCACTAGGAGCAAAATATTTTGTTGCATATGGAGAGTCCTTGGAGTTTAATATATGTACAACAGAAAATTATTTTCTGTTATCTTATAAACCTCACTTTCAGTTTGAGTTTAACTTTCACAGTCATAAAGATCTAAATGAAGGGGATAAAAATAAAGTAAGACACATTGCACCACTTGAATCCTACTTAAAGCTATATTATTTTGGTCCAATAACATTAAATCAAAGTGTATAATGAAATACACACGATGCTGATGCTATCGGACAGGAATATAGTAAATAAGAAAGTCAAAAAGTGTCCAGACTAGGCTGGAGCACACGAGTATTTTCAACACAACATATTTTGGTTAAAATAGGCCAAAGCAAGTTGATGGCTGCTATTATGCTCTTTTTGACTTGTTGGATTCTCTTCTGCAACTTATGCCTTATCTTGGCTTATCATCTTTGATGGTAAATGGCCAATTGCGGCGGTGGAATCCGAACTTCAAAGTGGGTCCGAAATGCAATGTTTGTCCTGAGACATTTGAGGTGAAAGCTTGTTTCATTTGGGGCTAGAATAAACTTTCAGCATGACAACCATCCTGCCCAGCACGAAAATATGATCCAAAGGTATATCTCAAATATGAGATTATTCGAAAACCTATATTAGCCCACCGCGTGTTAGAGAATAAGATTGAAAATGCACAAAATTATAATATATTCTAAGAATATAATAAAATTCAAAGATTGATTGTTACGAAATCAATTTTTTAAACACTTATTGATGTATGGCAAGATTATAAAATTTTTATTTTTATTTTTAATAAAACAATGTAGAAGTAATTTGAGAAATATTTGAAACATAGAAGAGGGGTTGATCACAGATTGATTTTTGTTTTAATGACCTAAAGGAGTCTCTATTTAAAGATATTTAAATGACTGTTTGTATATATATAATTATCTGTTTGTACGGACAAATTTATTGACAATTAACAATTAATTAATATCCATTTAATTAAAAAACTAAACTTTAAATTTAAAATAATTATTATTTAAGTTCTAAATGTCAAGTTTAATTAAATTTGAAGAACTATTCAACACTAGAAAAGACTAACCATAATCTAATTTGCACTTTACCCAGGTTAGCCCAATTACTAAAGACTTGAACTCTTCTTTACTTAAAAAGAACACTCTTTTATTTCCTTATTTCAAATAATATCTCACACTTATTATTATTAAATATATCCAATTATGTGGGGAAGCACAATTTAGCATATATCTTTAATAGTAACCCAACGCCAAGCAAGCCATAAGGTGAGAAATATTGATACGCAATACTAATCAAATGATACCTTCCATCCAAACATGGGTAAAAGAAAATTAAGAAAAAGTTGAAGAGAAATTAATTTGAAAAAGTTCATCTTAATATATCGTGGTCTTATTTTAAAGATTATATCTATTCGTAGTCCTTACATTATCATTCACCATACGACTAATTATTTTCACTTTAATTAAATAGAATTAATTACAAGATTGAAAGGACATCATGACACGTTAACCACCAAGAGACGAGTTGCAAAATTCGACTACCAAAATCAAGATTATTGGAGCCTTGTTGAGTACGTGACTTACTGGAAAGTAGTGGCCGGTGGACTAGCAAAGGAAGGTGACTTACTGGAAATAGCACAGGGGAGCCATAAGGTGTTGGGTTGCGATTCTGATATGTTGTCAGCTGTGCTTGAAGAGGTGGTAAAGCAGTGATGTACTAGAACTGTGATACCTTAAGTTATTGTATGTCCTTATCATTTTGTGAGTTGTCCTAGGATATTTTTTGGTGGTCTTAGCTAATGGCTTTGATAACCATTTAAGTCTGTTTATTTGGGTTTGGGTAGGCCTCGCATGGAAGGGATAGGGAAGGTCTTCTTCGGTATCATTTCTACCCATTAATAGAGAAATCTGTCTCTGAAAAAAAAGAAAAAAAAAAGAGTACATGACTAACTGCTCAAAGCCAGGATCGTAAAACATATAGATTATCTTATTACTTATAATATTATATGGGATTCAATACATTAAGGAGAAGCCCAATTTTGTATAGTTAACCTGACAGCTTTATGTAAACAGCCATAGGACACGATCATATCACGGCAAAGAACACTTGAGACCAATCAAGAGCGAGTATTTAACTTATGAGGGCACCCGAGGGTCGACGTGCCTACTCATGCCACTGGATAGGAAGGCTTTCTAGCAATGCCGCAGAGGCCCTTAGACGAATGAATATCTCTCTGAATCCTCATATAGCCACTTTCACCCCAAGATTTGCCCCAGGAGTTCTTGATTAACCAGTATTTGACACCATCCTCACTTGTTCCATACCCAACAATGGTAACAGCATGATTTAAAGAGGTCCCGCAATGTCCTGTGAATACCCCTTCCGAATAAAACTGAAAGTTACGTCCACCACCATTAAGCGATACTGAGACAGGTTGTTGGCTTGCAGCCTTTAGAAGTGCTTCTTCATTTTTGGGAGGTACATCTTCATAGCCTTTTATCTTCACAATTCTAATAGCAGCTTTCCGGGGGCTGCAATTTCCATCATTATTCGTGTATGGGTATGTTGTTTCGCTGGCTAGACCTTGGTTTTTTACAATGTATGCAAACGCATCATCCATCCAACCACCGCTGCAACCATCAGTACCTTCGGTTTTGACGCAGTCCACTAGCTGTTGCGCAGAGAGTGAGATTAACTGACCGGTTTTGATCTTGGTGATCCCTTCCACAGCTGTAATGGTTGAGAATGCCCAGCAACTTTCTGCATACACAAGTGAAAATAAGTTAGAAACAAAGAATTATTTAGCAATTAATTTTACACTTGAAGACTGTTGGACTTAAGTGTGGTTTTCTTACTACAAGAACGTTGGTCCTTAATATGGGTGACTGCCCCTTTCTTCCTCCAGTCAATGCTAGCGGGGACATCGGTCAGGTTTTCATATTTGACCCTTGTGGATTTGGGTGGAACTCTGCCAGTTAATATCTTGTATCCAGCATAGGAAGCTCGGAATTCTTCATTAGTTAGGTCTGCAAATTGATTGATGCTCAACTTGTAAGTTTGATTCCCCATGTTGAATTTTTCTATGAATTCCAGGTTGTCTTTGAATATCTCGAAACGCCAATTCTCCTCTTCTTTCTTCTCATAGGTGCGTCCATGTCGAGTCATCCATTGCTGATATTTCTCGAAAAGAACAGTTTCATCCAATCTGCGGGGCATGGCAGATGCCAAAGTCCCCAATAGAATCACCATGGCAATAAGGAATTTTTCTTTTAGTGGAAAAGCCATTGTATTTCTGTTTTAGTGGCTTCAACTACTTGGAAAGTGAGTGAAGAAGTAATCCCACAAACTCGGTATTTATAGGTGATCCAATAGTTCCTTCAATAGAATTCATTTTTTCAACATATAACTCTACTGTGGCGCTGATGCATAAAATGCAGGCCCTCAAGCCAAGTTTGACTGCAATCGTCATGCGGTTGTTTTCTGTGGAATAATTTAATAATCAAACAACTCCAAAGTCAATTGTGGAAGGGGGTAGATCAAGACATATATCATTCTTTAAGAATAGAATTGACTGGATTGCCTTTAGCTGAATTACTGTGCTATCAAAATTTTGATTTAAGAATATAAGAGTCATGGTGTACATCAAAACCTCCTGGCAAAATTTGACAGTAATACACCATTTTTATTACAGACTAATTATCTGATTAGAAAAACCCTTCAGGATGATGCAGGATTTCACCTTGTACTGAATCCCCTTCCGACGGACTTCATTTCTAATTAGTTTTAATATCCTAGTTTGATGGTGGGGTTTGCTCAACTTTCGGGGTGCTTAAAGATGTAATACTACTACTAAGTTTATCCACTAAGCAAGCATGGCATAATAATAAACAAGTTAAGCAAAACCTATAGCACGAATGATGATACAGCACTAACATACTTCCCTGAGGCTAATGGGGGATAAGATAATGCGCTTACGACATTTGGGGATGAAAGATTACCGTCAGCAAAGAACTCTCTGTACATGGCAGTTACTTTCCCAGGAACTATCTCTCTGTACAATTGTCATTTGTTACAATGCATGCCTATTTCTACCCCCCAAAAAAGGGGATAATAAGCTGTACAGCTAAGACTGTTCAATTAGCATTAAATCGTCGACAAGCACTAAAGTTAGCTACTAATAATTCTTGATCAGCCAATCAAATGTTAAAATTAAGGAGATGAGTCAGCAGAGTTGAAGCAATGAACAGATTGGTAGGGTTGATAATCAAAGCCAATTAGACACGACCAAGTAACAAGCAAAAGAAAGTAGACATGTTCCCTTTTTGTTTGTGCTGTCTTAATCTGTGTCTATAAACACAGCACTCGAACATTTGAATAGGAAAAAAGGCATCGAAACTTAACTCTGGTGCTTTAGATAGTGAGGTTGGGAGAAATCTCTATCTTCAAATTCTATAAATTAAATCTATAACAGATGACGAAAACGTTTTCTTCTAGAAGGTATAAATAAATGTTAATGTAAACACGTGAGGCATTTCGGACACATTTTCTGCTCTCCCTTTGGGAACGGGTAGGCCTTAGGCAGGTGCATTGGCCACGCAATGAAGGAGATATATATATATATATATATATGATTTGAACAAGAAGCATTGAGAATACTAAATGGCACATTGGTCAAATAGAAAGGGCCATGAAAACAAGGAAATTTGATTTTAAATTTTTGATAAAAATAAAAGTTTATATGGTGTCTCCCTCTATCAGAGAACGTTTTAAAAGTAGCATAAGAAACTCAAGCATACTTTGAAAAGGAAAAAATGCAAGTCTTGCTACTGAATTCTAGGCATTTGTGTACAAATACGAAAGCCAGGGGCCATTGGCTTGGAATTGTACACGATATGGTTTGTGTCAAGAACTTAAGTTGACGAGAATCAACAATAAGCACTGTATCATTCAATAACACTTGTCGATTTATTTTATGATGATGCTTAGATGTTTATGCATCAATCTACTACACTGACAAAACTCAAATCAAACATCACTTGGAACAACTTTCAACTATTGGAAAGGAGAAACACAGTCATTCTGGACGTGAGAAATGTCCAGCATCGAAATGTATATAGGAACTTAATTAATTAGATAGTTGGATAGGAAGCTTTCTTGGCAAGGCCGCATAGACCTTCTGGGGTGTCAACATCCCTCTGAATCCTCATGTAGCCATTCTCACCCCAGCTCTGGCCCCATGAATTCTTGATCAGCCAGTACTTTGTACCGTCTTCGCTAGTCCCATATCCAATAATTGTGACAGCATGAGTGAGAGCAGTATCGCAATCTCCACTAAAAATTCCACCCGAGTAAAATTTAAAGTCTCTTCCACTCCCGTCAATGGCAACCGAGACAGGTTGGTTCGCTACAGCCTTGAGTAATGCCTCCTCATCATTGGAAGGTACCCGCTCATAGTCACTGATATCAGCAACTTGGGCTGTCGCCTTCTCTATGGCACAGGTTCCTTGCATTTCCTCATATGGGTAGTTTTCCTCTGTGGTTAGGCCCTGGTTTTCCATAATGTATTGGAAGGCATTTGTCATCCAACCACCATCGCAACCCTGGTTGCCGCCGTTTGTGCTGCAGTCCAATAGTTGTTGCTCGGACATTGAGATCAACTTGCCGGTTTTAATCTGGGTTATCCCTTCCATGGCAGCTACCGCTGAAAATGCCCAGCAACATCCTACAAAATAACTCTTGTTAGAAAGGTAATAACTCAAACTTTTGGAGATAGAGAGCTGAGAGGATATGCTCTTAAGTCTTACCACATCTTCTCTGGTCTTTAACAGGGGTGACAGCACCTTGCTGCCTCCAATCCAAGCTTGTTGGAACTTCTGTCATGGTTGCATACCTAAATGATGCTGTTATGGTTGTTGTTGGGTTGTCTAGCATCTTGTAGCCAGTACGAGCCGCTAAGAATTCATCATGGGTCAAGTCTGCGAACTCATTAATGCCTAACTTATAAGTCCTATTCCCTGCACTGTTGAAGTTATCGATATATTTCAAGTTGTCCTTGAATATCATAAAACGCCTGTCCTTCTCTGATTGGCTCTCGTAAACTCGACTATAACGTGCCATCCATTGCTCATGTTTGTTAGCAATGGCAGCTTCATGCAATGTCCGGGACATGGCCTGAGATGCCAATGTCCCAAAAATGAAAAACAAGACAAGGCTTAAAGTCATCGTATACAAAGTGGGGATGGCAGCAGATGAGTAGAAGGATTTTTACTAATTGTGTTTGTGAAGAAAATAAGCACCCAACGTTAGGTATTTATAGTACTTTACAGGAGGCACTTATGATCTAATAATTGGTCCATACAGAAAATTCATCAATCTTCTGCTTGCCAAGCAAGGTTTATTAAAGTGTGAAACCTGGAAATTTTTTGGGGTCCCGGCCAGCCACTATAAGTGTTGAGGACGTTATACATGTCATCTACTTCACATCAGCAAAAATGATGCCATCATGATCATAGAAGGAGTTCCGCAGCAAATTAATGAGACATTTCCCAGAGTTGTCAAGGGAGAACCTTGATGACTTGCGGCTCTTGTGTTCATATCTATGTAAAATTCACTTTTGGCCCTTATACATGCCATCTACGTACTTCACGTTGGTGAAGAGTGCCATCATGATCATAGAAGGAGTTCCCAGCAAATGAGACATTTGCCAGAGCTTTCAAGGGAGAATCTTGATGACTTGTGCCTCGTGTTCATATATATTCACTTTTGGCGCTAACTGTTCTTTGTCTTTCTGGTTACGTGGCTGCCGTAATGCGAAGTTTCTTTAGGAAGATATAAATTTAATAGGCATATCGGTAGAAAAAGTTTTTAAATTATTTTTAAAAATTCAAATAATTTTTTATTTTTCTATTTACTTTCAATTAAGTCTAATATACTTTTATTTTTATTTTAGATCAATTAAGCTTTTATAACTAATGAGTGACTGATTGTCATTAATTAAAATATCCCTAATCATTTTATATCAACATGATATTTATATGAATGATGAAAAATAACAAAAAAAATCATATCACATTATCACGTCATCATGTTATATTAACATATGCTGTCTGATATCTCAACTAAATCGATCATTAAGTAAACGAGTTTATTTAATTCAAAATAAAAATATAAAAAATTATTCAATTTAAAATAAAAATATAAAATTGATTGAATGTAATAAAAAAATAATAAATTTAATTAATTTTTTTTGAATAATTTAAAATTCTTTTTAAATATTACACCAATTTAATAATATTGATAATTATAAGAGTCCCACTTCTTTAAATTAAAACATACAGTTTCTAATCTGACTCCGAACTGCACATCAAATCAAATTAAAGAGAATTGGACAAGCTTTATACGTAACAATTTTCCTGAAGCATGGTGCGGATGTCAATCAGCTCGGGACCAGTTTAAGCATGAAAAGATGAAAAAAAGGGTAAAAGCTTTGACAAATGTTGAAAAGTTTTGTCCAGACCGTGGCCATAGTTAGGGGAAGAAATTGCGGGAATCCAATCAAGCGTGGAGCACAGCGGGCCATTGTTAGTATCGCAAAAAAGCATTGTGAACTACTTTTTCACTTGCATGGATTCCATGCATGGTCTACTTTAAACACTGGCAATGGATGCCGTGCTGATCGGGTTAATGTCGACTCCAAGAACAGGGTGACAGTTAGGATTTGAGCAGTTGCATAGTTGAAGTAAGGAAAAAGGACTGAAAATTTCAAAGCAGGGATTACAAAAGAAATGGAATACATGCAAATGAGTTTGAACATAGTTTGGTCTTGGGACCCAACGAATGTGGAAATGTCAATTTTGTACGGTTCATATGGCATCACATGTTTTCCTCTGATGAGCATAATGCCGTGAACAATTCAACTGACTTAGGCCTACCATTTATATCACAACATATGCCACAAATCTAGAATTAGTTATTGCATTTTAGTAGACGCCGTTAATGGAAGATTTCTACTTCTCTCAGTAAGAAGGGAAGTTGCAGCACATTTAGAAAGAGGCTGCTGATGTTTATTTCCCATTCGACGTACCTCATAAAAAAATCTGATTGAAGGATTTGGTAGCCACACAAATATATTCTGCTCTTCCAGAAACCAACTAGAGGGTTCATGTTTAGTTAATTCTTTGTCCTCATGTATCCGCTCACCACATTGCCAAGAGCATTTATCAATGACTCCGGATCAAAAATTACACCCACTTTTGGGTCACGTATGGAGTCTACAATGACCTGCAGAGAACCACATTAATGCAATTTGTTATCATATCATATGGAGTATGAAGTTTATCGCTTCTAAAACAAGATTGCTTGTGAGAGACCAGAAAGGACAGCATTCCACCCCAGCCAACCTGCCTCTTACAAATGAGTCCATTTTGGAGGCAAAAACAAGGCTCCTAATCAAGTTGCCAAATAGCTCCCTGATGGAAAGGAGGAGAACGGACAGAGGCACCAGACAGCGGACTAGCTTCCACAGGGAACTCAAGGAAATAGCAGCAACTTTGCTAGTTCTAGGACTGGTCCTCTTCCGAATAAACTCACATACTAGAACTTAAACATTTCACACAATAATAAGAAAGAACCAATTTCTAAGATCTAGTTTTGAAATGCTATCCAACTCTATAAGTGATCGTATGAGTAAGTTCACCTTAGCAGCAGCAAGAAATTGGTTAAATAATATTCAAGTTGTGGTTATAAGCAGACATACCACATCAAAGATTCCTTGGGAAGACAAGCTTTGGGCATCTATGGGAATTTCACCATCTTTGGGCACCAAAAGAGTATTGATGTACTGATTTGGCTGCACAGAGACATTAACTGCAATAAGTAAGAATATGCGTTCTTCTGTTCTTCTCCACCTACTTCTGCAATTTTATCTTAATTAAGAGTTTTCAGTGTCATGATAGATGCATTAAAAAGCCTCAATGAGAATTTGACAACATTTATATATTTGTAGTAATAACAATCAATTGAAGAAGTCATCATAACCTATGCAGAGTGTGCTAGTTATCAACAGTAACTCAATCACTTGTACCAAAAAAGGAAAAAAAGCTGCAACCCAATCTATTCACTCACAAGTTTTTTTAAACAATAATGAGAATCTCCATATGTTCGATTCAAAGCATCTGTAATGGCAGTTACGAAGGAAGATGCAGAGAAGCCAGTTGTCTCGCGATCATGAGTACCATTCAACAAAAGTACCTAATAGCAGAAGGAGCCAAATCAGTTCAACATATATCTCCCAGTGCAAAAAAGCAATAAAAAGCTTTAACTACATAGCAGAACACTATAATATATTAAATATTTCTCTTGGTAGGTGTCTGGCATCTATAAATCTTCAACAGTTCAATAGGTTGATACCTTAGGACAGGACCTAGAAGAAATGATCTCCCCAATGCCAAGTAAGACCTACAGATAAGATAAAAAGAATGACAAACCATATATTAACAATCCAAAAAATGAAAAAACATTGACGTAGATCAGAAATTTGTCTAAAGAAAAAAGAACTACTGAATTTTTGCTAATAAAACAGATAAAAGACAAAGTTCAACTGAATATACTTCAATTTTCTATCCTATAAGAAAAATTTCAGCCAACAAGGCACCTGATGTCCCATCCAGAAGGTGCTTATATCCTTATTCAACATGCCAATCAAATTCAGAAAGGAAAAGACAGTTATTGTATCAATATTCCCCCATGAAAATGTAATAAGAATAGTGCTACAGTGCCACAAATCCCACTTGAATCATTCCCCTAATTACAAGAGCATCATTCACTAGGCGTTGGGGTAATAACAATGCCATTGTCTGATCAAAAACAAAAGGCACTAATATAATGATGAGTATCTTTAGTAGCAACTGCATTACCATTGTGCGGCCACTTCATTCAATCACATATATGTTGTATGTGCTCACATGTGCACATTCAAGCACTTATGACCATCTGTGAAAGTTACATGTGGATGTGTATGTCTTTGCATTATTAAAGTGTAATGCATACTTGTTACATATTAAACGATTGAAGAATGCAGTATGACAAATAATCAAGAATGTTACCAATGATGGGCAGAGGGAAGTGAATAGAGAGCCCATAGCATAAACAATGCAGTCCACATTCGACAACTGCTCCAGAACAGCTGGGTTTACTGTGGGAAAGACCTGGTCAAGTAGAATTTGCAGAGTTATATTTAAGTTTCAGATGTTAGAATTTGCATGACTAACAGTAGATATTACAATCTATTAAATATAAAAATTAAAAAGAAAAATAGTAGTAGAGACATGAGAAGGACATCAATAAAAAAAAAACACCTGTTATTCCATGTATCAAACAAGCACAAATAAAAGGATCTATAATTTACCTCATGTAGTGAATTCATACCCTCACTTGACATGTAGAATACCCTTTTTATTCTCGAGGGAAGAGCTGGAACTGACGATCTTCCCTATACATAAGAATGTAGCAAGTAATAAATGTAACACTTCTGTAACATAACGGTGAACATAACTGAGACAGAAGCTCAGTATTGAATTTTTGCATTTAAGTTTTTTGGAATGGAATATTCATTTCAGTTTAAAAGTGATGAGTAAGTGGTGAATTGAGTGGGTGAACTTATTAATAGCTTAGAAGTGTCAAAATTTGACATCAGTAGCTGAAATTTTCCTCATTCAAAAACAATTAAAGGTCATCCAAGGAATATTGGTTACTTATATTGGATTTTAAAAGTCTAAAATCAAAGTCTACTGATTAGCGTGAATTTCTAACTCAAATCCCATGATATCCCATTAATAGATTTTAAGGAACACCAAAAGATGGGGGGAGCAATTCCAAAACAAAGTTAGAACAAAAGAGAATGGAAACATAACCTAATATTATTGCACATGCAGAACAGACAAGATTTCTGGTTTTATTTCTCATGCCAGATACAAAAACTGTGTCAAGAGCCAAAACTCCCATATTTTCTCCATCCCCACCCCATCCCACAGTCCAAAGCACACACAGTGAAACCATGCTCTAGCCTCTAGGTCTTGAGGTTTTCACAATTTACAGTCTAGCATCTTCAAGATACAAAAACTAAAAGAATACGAAAATCAAGGCATTGCTCTGATTGTCAATCTGATTGATAATATCTCATTTCAGAAAGTTAAATTGGAATGCAACTTTTGCAGCCAGACCAACACAATAATGGGCACCATGCAACTGACGAAATACAGACTCTAAACCACCACTATCAGTTCATAGACACCTTTATTACCACCATTGCAATCGTCATCACTACCCTAGCTTTGCATCATGAATTAAACTAGCAAACCTTATCTACAGGTCCCATGGATCCATTGGTTGGATGAGAAATTTCATTCTGGCCTCGAATGATTGTCCCATCCTGCACATGAATTTGCACGAGTCATGAAAAGGAAATTATCAAGTGAAACTATTTTGGTTTTAATACTTCAAATAGACAAATACTCTTTAACATGTCATCCCAAACAAGGCCTGCATTCTTATGGCATTCAATCATGCAGACCCATACCAAACCAAATCGGCCAATAAAACTAGAATAAATCAGACAAGATCACATCCAGTTGATGAACTACCAACAATGGATCAAATAGGATATATCATATACACATGAATAATTTGCCAGATATGTCATATATACCCATAATTCACATCCTAATGTAAGCCTGTCATTGGTTGAAATGACTGGGAGGACCAAACTTTCTGCAGCAATATCTGAAACACGTGAAAACAGAAAAATTGCAGCATCTAAAGACTGAAAAAATACACGTGCTCCTGCAAAGAAAAAATTCCCAATGCTGCAATCATAAAAGAAGAAAAAAAAAAGTCACTAAGGTTGTGGTAGTGTCTGGTAAAATACTATTTACATATTCGTGAGAACTAGTAATTTTGAGATAATTCGCATTAGCATGCCGTAAGAAACAATAAAACAGGAAAAATAAATGAGCTAGTTTCTAGTGGAACAATAGGCAAATAAAGAGCCAAATATAAAGTAGTACTTCACTGCACGATAAACCAAAACATGAAATGATGCACATTATAGAAACAACTTTCTATACCAGTTACTATGTCCTCATCAGGTATAACAAAAATAAACACTTCATGGTGCATGAACCAAGTACTTAAGGCAGCAAAAAGAACAGTGATTTTGAGTCTGACAAATAAATTTACAAACATAGTCATGGAAATTCCAAAAGCAGCAATAAGCCATTCAATAAACTGAAACAGAAATCTTGGTAAGGGATAAATACGACAAAGACAAAGTACCTGCCATTACTGAAACAAAATGATTCATTAGGCCTTCTCAGAATCTGTATTCAAGGAAAGTATACGTTAATTTCATTCCAGTTATCTTTTCAACCAAAGAGTAGTGACATATTTGATAAGAAGCACAATACAGAACAATAATAGGTGATTAACAATAAAATACTATTTTGATAGGAATGATGCCACTTATATGTAGTCAAAAGACAGCAAACTATAGCATGTCTGTTCAATAAAAAGAAAAAAAAATAGACAAAATGCAACAAAATTTAATACCGACAATGAAACATTAGTACTAGATGACCTCACCTCATTTTGGAAATAAGCCAGAAAAGCTCGAATTGTTTCCCTGTATGGTTTTGATACACCTTCCCATAGTGAATGTTCTCCTTCCACAATTTTGTACCTGTCAAATTCTCAACTCAGCACACTATTAGTCAATATTCCCACCATATTTACACCTAGAAAGTAAATAAAAGAAATTCAAAATTACAAACAACCAAAACAATTTTTACATCACATATGCAAAATTATCAATAAAACAGAGTGCTATATTGGAAACAGCATAAACGCAAAAGACAAACACCAATTAATTTATCAATTTTTTTCTGAAAAAGATATAAGAAACACATCTAAACAACCTAATTAAGAATGCTATAACACATTAAAATCATGGAGGCAAAATTATCACAGAAAAACACTACCATTCCGACTTGGCTTGCTGTGGATTGATAGACAAACGATGACCAAGCAATCTTCGGACAGCCAGAGCCTCAGAAGTGCTTTGGTCAGCCAATCTCAAACATCTTGACCTTATGTCCCCAACAGCAGGACCACCTAGACAAATACTCAAGATGAACATGTTGAATTTCACACAAAAATGTATTTTAGCACCAAAGAAGTAGTAGTATCCATAAAACAAACTCAGCAACATTATTTAGCCTCATGCAAACAAACATTATAAACAACAAAGCATGTAATGTTAAGCGAACACGATCTACCAATAATAAGTCCAGTTGATTAAACAATTCCTTTCGACTCCAGGATAAGTTCTTAATTGTTTTCTGATAATTGATCAGGACTTTGAATTGAATAATTGATAAACGAATACTATAAGATTTTGTATTAGAAATGGATGAAAGATACCGAGCACGCGAACAATCTCGGCTGTACTTCCTCCATCATCAGAAACTGGAAGAACATGAGCGACACGAACTGTTAACTTCTTAAGCTCTTCTACAACGCCATTGAATGCCGTGCCACCTAAGATCACCATAACAAAAAAAGTTTACTCTATAAACAGAAATTTGGTTACGTTTTAGCTTTCTTTCTTAATTGAAATAGTTATCAAACCCACAAAACATAAAAGAAAAAAGAAAGGGGGAGAAGAGTACCAGACAAGACGAGTAAGGAAGGCTGGGAAGGTCCAGGGTTAGAGGAGTAATGGCAATGGGCAGCCATGGATTTAGAGGGAAAATGAAGAGGTAATCTTGGGATTTGGAGAAGAAAAAGAGGAGGAGGAGGAGGAGGAGGAATAGGAGGGGCTTTACAGAAAAAGGATCCCAAGCAACTATCCGCCATATTCCCGCTATTTCCAACATTTTCCCATTTCTGAGAGTAACGCCTTTTAAATTTTAATTGTTTTTTGTTTTATTTTTTGTGAACGAAAAAGGCCCCTGGACAATTTTGTTGGCCGTCCATATTAGTTCGGTGGATCCCATGGTTAGACATGGACGGTGACGATGCAATGAGCCATTGGACACTGCTTAATGGCTGTTTGTTATTAAACCCATACATCTACCATTTACCCTGTTAAATTAAACCCATTGGAAAATGCAGCTTAAAGGGCCTATGCTGTAACTGTAACAGAGCATACAAATGGAATGTTAAGATGATCCCACAGACTCCAAAGCCTGATTTCCCAAAGGATTTTTACCAATTTTAGGCAATACGATAAATAGTTAGCATCCGTAAACAAGGCAAGCAAAACCACAATATGCATTGGAAGCTTAAAGCCTACCGCAATTTGCAGAAAACAATTAAATTTCCAGTTTCCACCACTCCACGTGGTTGGATTTCCTCGAGTGCTTAAATCTCTCCATCTCTATACATTTTATCCGGTGGGAAAATTCCAGACTCATTAATTAGGAATGTTTGTCTGCATTCTATTATTTTATCTGCATAAACAAACCAAGTTAACTTGGTCTAAACAAGCTCCCAATCCGATTCAGAAAATTCCATGTCTTGTGATTTAGCTTTGTCCGTTTGACTGGATCGTCCAGCATTCTTTCCTTTCTCCTTACTCGATCCGGCATGCTGTTCACGATCCTGCTTTCTTAACCTTAACTTAGAAGAAAAAGACTCCCGAAATTTTTTCTGTTCCAGAGAAGAACAAATAAATATCAGATTCAACTAACAAAGGAGGGAAAAGCTTGTCTCAGGTGAAGGTGTTCACATGAAGCTAAACATCCATGAGGAAACTATATTCATCCAGGGGAAAAATATGTTGGCGGAGCGGAGAGAGTATCATACCTTGTATGACCTGCGTTTTCCTGCTTCATTAGACTGAGACTGAAGATCACCACTGTCCACTATAATGCAGCTTTCTTCAAGCTTTGCCTCATCAAGAGACAGTAGAGCAGCTTCTAGTTCCACTTCTGAAACAGATTGGTGGCTAGCCTCTTCTGCAACAAAATCATTTACTTTCAGTACAACAATAAAAAGTATTACTTTAACTAAAATATGGTGGTTTCTTCCTTTGATTTGAGAATTGGAAGCAACTGATTATGTAGATTTAATGTGGAAATGCTCCCCTGACTCCCTAAGAATGACTGGTTACGTAGTTTTTTGGGGTCTAGGGAAAATATATAGGAAGCAATAAAGAACATTAAACAAAATAATAGATAATGGATATATCATACAAATGGAAAACTTACCCGTTGTTTCTAATGAGGTGTCATCTAGAGTAGAATCAGTGTCCTGAAGTTCATTCTTGCAGGCTTGAGCCAAAATTACAGAATCAGATGGTATGGAGCCTGAATGAGCCAAGGCACTCTCATCCTTTGTACTTTGCTCCGAAGATAAACCAAAATGTACATCATCAACAGATCCAAAATGTACGTCATCAACAGATTGAACAGAAGATGAATGGATCAGTTCCTTCTGAGATTTATCTTCATCAATAGTTATGTTTGAATTTTCACAGGCTGTGACACCAGTATTTTGCACTAGAGACAAGTTACGCTCTTCCACAGATTTGGCTCGAGGTGAAAGGAGCACATCTTGCATGAATTCTGTGCAGAACTGTTTAACATTAGCACCAACTGTCTGCAAGTGGTTTTCAACACATCTAAATGTTTCCTGACCAATAATGCCATCAATTTTTAAATGAGATACAAGCAGCATTGGAAAAATTCAGTAAGACAGATAGTAAAAGCACCAAAATTGAACTTTACTAATGTAAGTAAAGCAGCAAAATTAAGCATGACATTAATATCTCATTTAAACTTGGAAGAAAGCAATCTGGGTATTACTTTTCTATTTGTTAAGAAAAGACAACCACTGCAGAAATATTGTTTCCATAAACAAGATAATCGAATTGTACTGAAAACAAAACAATGGCCCAAAATTCAGGCACCAACGCATAGAATTCAAAATAATAGAAACAATGAGAATGGAAATTTAAAGAAAAAAATAAAAGCCAGAAGATATCTTGTTCACTCATGAAAATGATTGTCTTTTGTATATAAATGAAAAACACAGCAAATGTTTCAAAGTCATAATAAATTGAATGCCACCACAAAAGTGTTGATATTTTAATTTTAAGAGGGTAAAAGGATGATGTTAATCAATACCTCGCACACCATGTCATCTACCTCCATGCACATAGCTTCAAACTTCTGATAGATGTTGCCAACCCAGGCTATGCCTTTGGATTTGCTATCCATATTGAACTGAAACAAGGATGCTTTTTACTTCACCTTTCAGATATAGAAGCAGGTTTAATCACTTCACCTCCCACTTGGATGTTAGATGAACTACGTAATTCAAGATTCACATTAGTGAAGTTCTATATCCATCCAAGTGCAAACAAAGAATGCTCTATCAACTAGTTAGAAGTTTATTACCCAGGCAAGATGCTACAACATCATATTTCTATGAATGCTCGTGATCATAGTTCAAATCTAGCACAGAGGACATATTTCAGCCAAAACAGGTTGAGATCACAAGACAAATTAAGATTCAGGGACCAACTCGTTAATAACATGTACACAAGTGTATACACTTGTGGTCTAGCAGATCAGCATCTAGAAATCTTTTGTTCGAGTCCCAACATCTAGAACTGAGTCAGGAAAGTGATAAAAGACTTTTGAAATTTTTGAAGTTGATATAAGAAAACAGAATTTAAGATAAAGGGTTAGGAATAATTACAAATTTGAATTTTAACTGAAAAACGTAGTCCCTTTTCACACGCACTAAATTCTTCATTCCGCTTTTAAGTTTCTTAAATGTGTAAAGGTCTATTCAACAGTCAAATACAGAAGAACGGCTTCAACACTTTAACAACTCAAGACTGAACCCAACCGATCAAAATTTTATAAAGTTGCAATGCAGACAGAATTTGTTAAAAATTTCAAGTACCAATCTCAAATTTGACCATCACGGCTTCCAAATTGAACCCCAAAAACAATGACAAAACAACAAACAGGAAGCTGCCATTGTTCAAGTCAGGGAGAAACAAATATTGTTCACAACCAAATCAAGAGGAAAAACAAAACAAACTTAAGGCAAAGAGAAAGAATTCGACAAACCAAAATAAAAAATACTCATATGATCAGCATGCAGAAACAGAAAACTTTTAACACAAGAGAAAAAAATGAAAAACACCCAGATGATCAAGAAGCAGAAGCATTTTTACTAAACTATTACAAGTCATTAACAGATAAAAATATAAATAACCCAAAATTTAGATGATCCATTCAACAAAAACTTAACAACAAGAACAAGAAAGAAAGCTTAACTAAATTGAGAAAGAAAAAATAGAAGTAGAAAACCTCTCAACAGACTTACAGCGCTTTCTAAGCGTCCCTTCAAAAACCAAAGAGAGGAAGATGCTTTGTTAAACCCTTGAGGCGTTGATCAGTCAGTACCACTCCAACTCCTAGTCGACAAGTAGAACAAGGAAATACGGCTAATATTTCTCAGAAAATAAAAAAAAATATGGCTAATAATATAATAATATTAGTAAATAATAATTAATGAATTGATTTAAAAAAGAGAGAGGAACTTTTGGACGGTCAAGGACAGAGAGGACCCGACGAAACACGGATACAATGTGAGAGAAATAGAAAAAAGGAAGGGCAGACATGGAAAAGTGGAAAGAGTACTTTTCTTAATGAGATTGGCCGCACCTGATCCTTCCTCTCAAACATGACAAAGATTTTACTGTGAGTTAGAAGTCTTGTTTGTTACTGGCGTGGTTCCGCGGAAAAAATCTTTGGTCAGGTACAGGTTCATGGGCTGGACTTTGAATCTCTTCTGTTTCTTTCCTTTTAATTTTAATTTTTATATATTTAAAAAAGAAAATAAATATACACATAGAAAACTTTTATTATTATTATTGAAAAAATTCAGTATATTTTAGATTAGATAAAAATTGTTCTTACTCATCTCTTTTTTCAAAAATTTGAATAAAAAAACTTTTTAAATTGAAAATTTCAAAATTAAGATTGCTAAACCCTATCCCTTTCTTGGGGCGAAAATGAAATGGATGATTGAACTCCTCTAAACATGGTATAAATTGGTAAGTTTAGAGATAAAGTAATATTTTTCAATTTTAATCATACATAAGAAAATTAGTAAACATAAAGAATTCTATTAAATTGAATGTAAACCAAATTGTAGCAATGGCTAAGCTGTCTATACCCAAAATTATTCAAGCAATTATTATTGACACATGGTGCTGTGATATGTTCCCCATGACAATGAATATGACACAAATATGAAGGAAATTTCCATTAATGTTCATTAGAACATATAAAGGATGTTTCTCCTCAGAATTCATAGACTTGAGACCAGATAAAAAGGTCTCCTGCTTGTAAAAATTTCCCTTCACCAAGAAGAGAATAGAACATATGAAAGAATCCTTTCTTAAAGTAATAGGGAAAAAGGTGTAATATAGATTTCTAGTTAAACCCAAAGATGGCATTGAGTATTAGGAAATGTAGTGGGCTCAAATTTGATCATTTGGGTACAAAGCTTGAAATGAACTGCTCCATTGCCTTCAATGCCCATAATTTTCCAGTCTGGGTTTTAGGCCTGGAAATGACCTATAATTAATTCCATTCAAGCAATAAAAATATATTTATTTAAGTTATTTAATGTGATTTATTTCGTATGCAAACATACCAATCAATGTCAGGAAAGGAGGAAAGGATTCACCATTTACCCAATTTCTGGATTTCTCTTTTAGATTTTTTAGACCTGTTGGTCAATCATGATATACAATTTTTGATATGGTACTGCACAAGAAATTCATTCTCTCACAAATCTATAGGGGGTAAACCTTCATTTTGTTTCCCATCATCTGCAATAATTACATGCCATTGCAAAAGAATTGCACCCCAATTTGAAACACAAAAAATGATGTAATCAGAAGTGTTACAGAAACATTTTAGTAGGGCAAGCTTTTAGAGCTTGTGCTGAGGACCAAGGACTTTAGCTGGGAAGCATCAGCAGCAGCGTTGGCTCTTCGGGTGATCATTTCCATATTCTTATGAAGACTTTGCTTCACCAGATTCTTCATCATTTTCTTTCCTTCCTGAGCCTCCCTCGGGTGCAGAGGTGAACCGATTGCAAACCTTCCTGTTTGTGGTCCAGAATGCGGCCCCATCTTTGCTTGCCTTTCATCTTTAAACCATTGTAACAATTTAATTGCTCTCTTTTGAGCTAATGGGCTCCCCAATAAGGACACTTCGAGAAGTACATGAACGATCCCCGCCTTGGACATTTTATCCCTTTGTTTGGAGCTTTGATGAGCTAAAATCATTAGAATGTAGGCTGATAATTCTTGGCATTTGGGTTTATCCTCCCATGTTAGAATATCAATCAAGCTCTCTGGTACCATGGAACTATCTTCCATAGCCGTTTTTCCCATCAAGGTCACCACCAAGTGACCTAGGGCTGCAAGGGCTTTTTCTGAAAGTTCTTTGAGCGACGATAGCTTCAAGAGAGCGGGCATTACTCCATTAGATACCAAGGGTCCAGCATTTTCTAACACAGCAGACAGGTTGTATAAAACACCTAAACAGTACTCTTTAGTTTCAAGGCTGGAGGCTGAATCAAGAATGCCAATGACAAATCGCAGGATCTCAGGTGTGGCTAGAGAGAAATGGGTATTTGATATAGAAGATAATGATAACAACAGTTCTGCAAATTCCTGCCTCGTTTGTTCGTCCACACTATCAATGTCCTTTGGTAACTTTGATAATATTCCAGCCTCTAGCATGAAAGCCTTGTTTCTGAAGCAAAGACAGAGACAGAGAAGGAAGAAAGCAAACAAAGTGATTAGACTTTTGACCTAACTTAAACGTTTGACAAAAGCAAAAAACAGCACAAAAGTTCAAGTCAACAATGACATCGAAACTTCAGTTGAAATAATAGAAGAAAGAACAATAATTTTACGGGGGTAGATGAGATGATAAACCAAAAGTGCTCCATTATTGCATAAAATAGGACTCCCCTAATAGAAACAATGTGGGCGTAGAACTAACCAGCCAATAAAATAAACAGCCAATACTACAGAGAAGGCAATGAGATTCTGAGATTGAGATCAGGGTAGGAAGGTAAAGGTCAATAACTGATTTATTATTCTTAATTGTCCCAGAATAATATCATATGGAATCTGATAAACTACACTATATCTGGTAGTTTGCATTTTCTCTCACTTTTTTTTTTTTGGAGACAACAGTGTCTCTTGGCTAACATTATTATTGCCCCTCCAACTCCCACCACCATGGAACCTGGTGGACAGTCAGCGCACCTCCCGGCCTCTGGATTCGGGATCGTTCAAATCATGAATTGCTTAATTACGGTATTAATGCTTCCAACTCATGCTTCAGGTATGCATATTTCATTTAATATTTCGTTGTCATTTAGTGTTTAAAAGTTCCAGATGGCTAGAGTTATGCTCTAGTGCACATGACAGGTCTAGTTCATGGGAAGCTTTGACACCCTAGTACTCCAACCAAACAATATTTAAAGCCATTAAACGGTAAACAACTCAGAATCTATGGATTAATTGTTCTATTTTGATGAGTCCTGAGTAAGAATTTAACAGGAAACAAACCCCAAAAACTATTACCATAAGTGCAATAGCCTATGATTATTAAAATGTTACAGCCTGGACACCGGTGTCTTATTTAGGCTTAGAAATCAGAGTATTATATCGCCATTAATGTGGAGAGGAGGTTTCTGTGAAATATCAGCAAGGCTCAGCAGCTGAGAACCTGGGGACCCAAATTTCGGGTCCTCCGAATATGCCAACCTAAATCGGGCAACTGACCTACCACGTGAGGTAACCCCGTCCTTAAAAAGTCAAATATTTCTGGTGTCCCCTAAGAGGGCTCCACCCAAAATCAGTTTCTTTATTCCAATTGGGGATAGCTAATTCATTAACAAAAAAGTTTCCATTCATCTATCACTAACAAGATTACAAGTAGGTAAGCCAAAGAGAAAAAAAAACCAAACCACTAATATTAGATTTTCAAGTGGGCTTTAGAACGGTCAACAATCAACAGTGTAGAAATGTGAAATACATTGAAGTTTGTACTATAATTGATCATGAACTGGATCAACCATATGGGTTTTTCCTCTATCCTGATGAAATGTTTGTGACCTATGCATATTGAGATGGTGCCAAAAACAAAGCTCCATTATTTTCAGACATGGTTGAAAAAAAGTCGAATTCTAGCAGCCTTATGAACATCTTTCTTTTCTCATTGCATCTTCTTTTTATGAATAAAGAAAAAGCTACAGCTTCCAGGACCAGGAGTCCTTCCCCCTATGTCCAGTCCCATGCCTCTAATTACATTTCTACTATAAGATTTATCTAGGTAGCTCTTCATTACCTTGGAAACTCAATCATTTATGGTTATGTTAGAATATCCAATAATAAAAATTGTACATCTACCAACTAAATTAAGAACTTGAAACAAAGAAAAAGAAATTAAACTTAAATAGTGAAAAATATTAAAAAGAAACTTACGTAAAATTTCCATTAGCAAGCTCGATCAAGGCCTTCATGGCGGCTCGACGGCGGCCAACCACCTCAGTAGCCATCATGGACACAAGCATATGTGTAACTCCGAGCTCCGCCATCAGCTTCCTTGCCTTAACGTCTTCTTTAGCGAGTTTCTCAATCGCCTTAGCAGCCATCTCTTTCTCTTCCCAGCTCCCAAAGTGAAGCCCCTTCACAGATTTTTGCAACACCACAGAATCACCTTCCAGCTCGCTTTCTTTCTCCATACGCTCTTCCTCTTTATCAGTACTGTTTTTTATTGTCAACTTGTTTAAATGATCAGATGATGAACCGTATCGTTTCCTTGCTGCTTTGGATTGCAAGAACCTCCGAATTCTAGTAAAGAACTTAAGCTTTCTATAAGAAAGTAACCAAATAGAGGAAGAAGCAGAAGACGAAGAAGTAGTAGAAGACATGTTTTGAGTTTGAAAGGGAGACATGGTGAGAAGGGGAATTGAAAGAACTGTTTTAGGGGCTTATCTGTTTATAATAATAATACTAAACTTAAGTCTAAGACTTGGACTTTTTTCTAGAGATTAAAAAGAGGGAAGAAAAGAGAATAAATAAGGATCAGTAAGGGACAACAGAGAAGGCTCTCTATCAGAAAAGGCAGGGAGGGGGAGCATTAATCACATGCAAAGGAAACACTGTTGTCTCTTTAACCCTCCCAGGCTCTGACAGATAATTAAGACAACAAGATTTCTCTGCTTAATTCGGGTTTTTATGTTTGCTTCCCATATTGCCCCGTTGGTTAACAGTTTCATTTGCTGAAATGGGAAGAAATTCATGGGACAACTAGCGGGTTAACAGTCTAATTGAGGCTACGGATTTGTCCCTATCTGGTACACTCTACGAAGGTTCTTTCACGTATCAAAACCATAAGTCATGGAATTTTGGGCAAGATTAATTTCCTACTTTAAAGTTTAAGAAACTTAATCTGGGGTCTGAAGGCGAGGCACTGTTCAATGGCATGTGGGATTCAGGGAGCAAAGAGCCTTGATGCTCCCAACAATAACAGCAAGTTCATATATTTTATATAGACGTGGCCTTCATGCTAAGCAAACAGGGCTGCAAATAAAAACTTTTAAATCTAAACTAATAAAAGAAAATTCATCAGAATACCTAATCTGTATCAATGAATTTCATATTTTCACATGTATAATGGAATTTCTCTATGCATCTAAGCTTTTGATCCGACACAAAATTAAAAACTTCTAATTTTCTTAATCATATATGTCTTCTTTTGTGTGTGTATAGTGGGGATTTAGTTTTAGTTAATTACTTTCAGGTGTGGCTTGCCAGTTTCACCATCCCATTTGTGCTGAGTGGTTCGCTACAATGGTAACAACATGGTGTGACTTCACGGTATAAATGGCTGAAGAATTCTGATGAGCTTTCAAAGGCTATTTTAATTCTAATTGTTGTGCTTTTTTCTAAATAATTGTCCTCAATCCCAACCCAAGACGTTAAATGGAGAAGCTACAAAGCAAAGTCAAAACACAATAATGGAAGTGTACCGAAAAAGAACATAATTAATAGAAACGTACAGAAAAAAAGAAGAAGAAGAAGAAGAAAACAATATATAATAGAAGAGATATAAAACTTCATTTACCTTCAATGATCACCTCGGTGAACAATATCGAACACTGTGAGACTTTCCTATGTTTCCTTGTGAAAATTACAGTGTTCTTGATTGGTAAGAGCAGTGTGTGGCTACTATAAAGTAAGGGTACGTCAAATTTTGGTCTGATAAGCTTCTAGACAGATAATACCCTTAAAAGATATACTTGTGCCCACATCCTCTTATCAATATTTCCATCTACTTAGCTACATCTTAACGGTTTTTATGATGACCAACAATATAATTAAAGAGGGATTTAAGAATTTAATCCTGGCATGCTTTTCCATATAGAGAATAACGATAATCCTGTTATTAGTAAAATACTTGTATTACTTACTGACAACTTAAAAATTTCTAGGCTTATGCCTTGCAATTTGGTCAAAGAATGTGCCAGGGGCACAAAGAATTCTTAGTGTACCACTTAGGCTAATCACCAATATTCACTTAGGCTAATCACCAATATTGACCTATCTTTGCCTCCCTCGCTTGCTGCTTCACCACCCACCCTCTCTCTCTCTCTGTCTCTCTCTATCTCTGAAAACTTTGGTGAAAATTGGTCGAATGACGTAATGGCTTCGTCCGACGGCGCAGAAATTATTCCATGTCAGAATTCCACTATGGATTTTTTTTTTTCTATCTCATCTCTTGTCAACCATGGGCAGCCAGGGATTTTTCCCACATGCCAAACGGGTAACCCCAATGAATCCTATGGCTTTTGCACTGACAAATCAGTAGTATCAGATTTGAACTCAAAAACGTGCGGCCTGGGTGCTTTTATGAGCTGTACCACAATCCATCCTCATTGCCCTCATCAACTCTTTTTACACATGGGATTGTAATTGTTGTAGCTTTCGATAACATTATCTTCTTTTAGCCTCTCGAGATGCCATGTGTTGAGAATGGTTACGTGAAAAAATGTTCCTTGTCTTCCGTAATCTTACCGTTTTTATTAAGTGGCCTGCTGGTTTCAAGCAATTCTTTTATAGGGAAATTAACCCAATGATCTTTGTCCCTAGACTAGAAGACTTGATATGAAAAGCTTAAAACCTTTTTTCATCATGAACTTAAAAAGGTATTAGCTTGATCATAGAAAAGAACAGGGACAAATTTAACTTATTACATGTGTCCCCAAAGAATCATTCTAAGGCTTTACGTCCAAACTATATTTGCTAAAACTTGTCAGTGCCCTTTACCTACCAAGAACTAAACTTCGATTCTATTACAAGAAATATAAAATAAATCACTTTATAGAAGCTGAAGAAGAAAGGTGTGGATTTCCATGTCGTGCCACATGGCGCACCTGCAAAACGAGCTAAGTCTATAATGGAGTAATAAAAATGGGCGTTCCACTGATGTATTAAACAGAAACGTTAAGAGTTAATGTCCACAACCAACAGAGGCACTATAGCAGAGGATAGAGAAACTTGTTGGATGATTATATCATCCACAATAACCTTGAATTAGTATAGATTATGATGATTTTGAGTCCTCGTTGACACAAACGAAAAAAGTGCAAAAGCCACTACCCATAGCTTAGACCTTTCTTGCAAGACTTTAAGGCGGCAGACACTTGGAGACTTCAAAAGTTCCAGTCTTCTTTCAACGACTGTTGCTTTTTCTGTTTTCAAGTGAAGATTCTCATGAAGGTTCGCAGAATAAATTCTCACTGTTTTATTTGCGTTTATGGGAATTTCTTGGAAGATACATCCGAATTTAGATTAGTCTTTTGAAAGAGCAAAGGAAGATTTTATGGGTGGTGTAGCATTAGGCCGCCAGATTCTGCCTAATACTAGACAGGTTGGTAAGATTTGCTGCCCTGTTGCTTTGGGGTAATACATTTTTGTGTGTTGCAGACCTGACTCACTTCAGCTTAAGCCAACAGCGAGCAAAATTGTTGTTTCTCCTAACATCTTGTGGTGGGAAAGGGGAAAGGCTTCTCACTTTCCGAGACCAGAAAAAGAAACGGTTCTTGAGTTTTGAACTTAATGCCTGAATTTGATGTGACACTTCACCAATTTATTCTTCTAAACTGTAAATGTCTGGTACTATACTGGATCACCTTCCCACTTTTAATCACTTCAGAACGATTTTGATCTTGATGGTGAGCTTGTCCCAACTAAATTATTTCCCCACCTTTTTCTGCTGGCCACAAATTTACTGCCACTTCGAATAGGACATGAAATCGGATGAGTCCAAGAATTCACTGCACACTCACAGACTCAGAAACTGAATGCAACAAAGACAGAAGAGTGTGCAGCAGTCTTTTTCCAACATTAAAAATACAACACTTGCTTATCTACCCTGTGATCATGTCTCGATTGTTGAGTCTATGAACTCACTGCAGATTCACAAAAAGAGAGCGCGGAAAAACACATGTTGACAGTCTCACTCAATCAAGACAAAATTCAAAGCTTTGCTTGGGAATCAAGAGTTGTTTCTGAGGTTAGAAACTCATGTGTTCATGGTTGATGACGAGATGAAAGAGAGTCTGACTCAATCAAGACAAAATCCAAAGTTTTGCTCGTGAATTGAGAGTTGTTTCTGAGGCTAGAAACTCATGTGTTCATGGTTGATGATGAGATGCAAGAATCGGGAAGATACATGATTGTTTTAGAATATTGACGGGTAATGATGGGTAATTTGACAAATATATTGTCAATTATAGAGCTGATGAGTTTCCCTTTCTTCGGAGTTACCACCCGGGAACCAAACCCGGGCCCGGATCCTAGCAAAAGTCAAAGAGTAAGACCGTGATGGACCCTTCTAGGTCCACAGATGACTGGTTCAAATTCAATCTTCCATAAATTGTTCATGGAAGTATTATGATGTCATTCCTAAGAACAAGCTAAGAGTTAGGGGAGACGAATATATAAAGAGCTTCAATCGGTAAGTAAGGTAATGTCTGTGACCATTGCTGGCTTCAAACTCTTTTGACACAAAATGATAACATGAAATATCAAAATGAGAGAAGAAGACATATTAATGTTCAGATTGATTTCAAATCAAAGAGGAAACTGGAAATGGATTTAAACTTCACATTTGCCTTTTTGGTTTGTATTTATACAGAAAGAAAAAAAAATTATTCTGAAATGTATAAAGTAGTCTTTAATCTTTTATAGTTCGATGCATTCATCATCAGCATCCTCCATCTCATCATCCCAGTCTAGTTGAAAAGTGTTTGCTGATCTCATCAACTCTGTTAGTCCAGTAAGATCCTCCAAATAGGTAGGATGGTTAATTGCTTGGAGAATGAATTGCATCCCTCTTTTGCGATATTCCGACACAACCTGGGAAAGTATTATTTATAAAGGTCAGAACATAAAGCTGCAGTGGAGAAGAACACTACAAAATAATGATAATAAGAGAAAAGAAGGATAATGCACATCAACAAATTTATAAGATGCTAAAACTTTCAGCTAAACTTAGAAAGCTGAAGTCAGACTTTTAAGCAAGCATGCTTGAAAAGTTAATCTTGGTTCCTCAAATGATGAATGGTCCCATAGAATGTGTTCTATTTTAGAGGGTGCACCAGTAATAATAAGTTGGCATGTGACTTTTATCACACCCGCAGGGAAAAAAACCCTTGCGCTAAAGGGCTCTGAAGTCACTTGAGATCAAACTAATTTATCAGTTTCTGAATCTCTCAATATCAACTAAAAGAAAGACCAAATGAGATCATATACAGCGGTATTGCTAAAAAAATCATACAGACTCACATCTCACACAGACACAACCTTAAAAGCATGAACTGGAAGACAGAGAAGACAAAAATAAAGAGAAAACAAAGAACAATATTAATAGAAGCAAAGAACTCACAGTGCTGCAACATGCTGTACAACTGTTAGAGGAGTTGCCCACAAGGGTCATCTGTTGAAAGTGGGGGAGTGAACCTCGTATCTGATGGGGTAAAATACCCAGAGGAAGCTCACTACTTCCACCATTATTGGACTTGGCAATCTCAGCTTCAGCAAATATCCTGCAGGTACAATTGGGTGGTCAATGAACCAATCAAGACCTCTGCTTACGTTGTAATAATTAGAACTAATAACTTGTCAAATCTCCAAAGAAACAACAATGAGAAAGACATTTTTGCATAGTTTCCAAGGATTTACCCATGAGGGTGATGCAATATGCCTACTAAAAGCTCAACTGCAAGTGCGGAAGCAATAGGTGCAAGCCCTGGACGAGTAACAGTGCACTGCTGATCCAATGTGCGGTTTGAAGTTGACTGCACAAACCACCACAGATAAATAGTTAAGCTTGAGATACAAAACACAGCTATAATACTGATTATTGCATTCCAGAAACTCCGGTAAATTACATCTGTTGGGGCAACCACATCATTACAGAAGTAACAACCCAGTCTCTGCTTTCCATCTGTATTTGTTAGGGCAAGGTTGTCCATGACAGCAGATAAAGAATTTGGCATTTCAGCTTTCAAGTCAGGAGTGGAGTTAAAAGGACCAGGTCCATGGCGCATAACCAAGAAGCTGTCAAACCCAAGGGCTGCAGTAATGGTTATCTGCATAATGAGAAAAGGAAGAACAAAATAAGCCATCATCCAACAACTCAAAGTCCAGTAACATCTTCCTGTATCTGTATCTACGATGCCAGAACAAAATACCAAATACCAAAGCAATTGATACATGAAATTAGGAGATGAACCTTGTTAGTGTTGGCACAGAGAAGTGTAGGGAGCCACCGACTCTCTCTAGTATCAGTCAACAAGAAAATTACATCATGAGAACCAATCAAATCATTGAGTCGTCTACAATCTTCAAGGACACTGTTCTCTTCTTGGCTGGACACTGGATGTCCAGGCATAGGAATGGCCATAACAACACCTTCTGCTACCTAAGAAAACAATCATAAGGTCCATAGCGAGGGGAAATGAAAAGATTCTTCTCTTCTGTGTTGAACTTTGTATTTATAGGCCTCAAATAAAACAAATTACCACTGCAGGAAATATTCGCTGTAGGCTTCTCACTGCTGCTGTGGCTTTAAAATCACCACCATTGAGGCAGTCATCCAATGTATACAGTGACTGCCTCAATGGATTAGACATGGCCACCCTGCCATTGTCAACTAGAGTGATTCTGCGGACACCCCAAGCCTGCGACACATACATTCTTTAATCCCAAGAGATATGATCCAAAATGATGGTTGTTGCTTTCTAAGTACTTACCATAAGCATTCGAGCAACCTGGCATCCAAGTGTGCCTGCACCAAGGAGAAGGCACTTGATAGAAAACAAGATGTCTAAGTTAAGAGATGGCAAAGCACGCCATCTCATCAGTTTCAAATTTAAGTCTGCAGCAGATATAGCTAACCTGTGAGAAAAAAGGGGTAAAAGAAAAACCTGAAAATCCTTTGGTTAAATAAATAAATAATAGTATAATGCATTAATAAAGTGACAATGCATAAAACTTACCTGGTTGGATCCATGGATTTTGCAAGGTTAATACACCTTGGTACTTTTCTCCCCTTGTTAAGTTCCCATCCTACAGCATTGGGCACACATTGATGTTCCCTCCATCCTAAAGATATTGTAGGTCCGAAAAGCTAGTGTAAGACAACCTCATACTGTTGGAACAGATAGAAGAATGATCCAGAAAAAAGGTGTTACCCAAATTCTGCCACTCTACCTTGTGAAATTGTAATCAAGGCTTCACCAACAAGGGACAAACTCAAATCAGCAAAACCACGATTCTCTCTATAGCACAAAAAGTGAACTGTTTTGAGATTCCATCTAGCACAAATAAATGCCAGGTAGTTGCGGAGAGGCCAGCCAGGATTGTTTGGAAGATGACATGGGTCATAAAATGCAAATAGCAACTGCCAACAACACGTATAGTAGCGTTGAGAAAGAAAGCGATGATATTTCATATTTTTTGTCTATCAACATCATCCATCATATGGAATTTTCTAAAAACAACCCCCCTTGCAACCATAAACTGATCCATATTTCCAAAAATGTTACAAAGAGAAAGGCAGACATACCTTTTGACCATCATATTGACAGGTTTCCCAATCCTTAAGATGCCTAACGGCAGCCCGTGAATCAGAACCAACACTGACCAAAAAGAATGGCACATCTGCAATAGACTCATAAAATTCAGCCAGTGAAGGATGATGAAAAATGTAGAAGAAAAAGAAAAGGGAATGTAATCACATTTGAATTTCAACGCACTAAGATAAAAAGAAATGTAGAAGTTGCAATAGCAGAGTGGCCAAATCTACCAGCAGTTACACTTGAGTTTCGCCATTCATTACATGCCGCTGATACAGATTCTGCCTACATGTTAAAAATGAACAATTATAAACCTTTAGCACTCCAAAGGATATAATAATCCAGAAAGTTTGCTAGCATTTATAACATCTTGAGCACCTCTTCCAAGGTGAACCATTGAGAAGCTGGCCTCAAATCTACCAAGGTAGCAGGAGGATCAAGTACAAGAGCAGGGAAAGCAAACCAATAGTGAAAGCTCCATTTTTTCAGGTCTGCAAATGAGATAAGAAGGAACCTTGATAATACTGAAGAGTCCTCCAGAACTTTTCCACTATGAACATCCTCCCAAATCTAATAGTAATTGACACAAAACATAAACTTCTTAAATTAGATTTGTGTTGCATTCGATCAATTGCATAACAAACTTTGTAGTCAACCATTTGAACTATTTTACCTTCTTTGCTTCTGCCCTGAGCAGACCTTGTTTATCCAAACCATGGAAACTTTCCATCGTATTAGTGTTGTAAAGAATGCCCGGAACAGAGCACCTATTCCGATTGCCTCGACTAAAAGCTGGAATTGATGATTCCTCATTTGAATCAGACGGCAGCGATTCAGCGAGGAGAGTTAAATGATTGGATACCTGAGGATGTGAGCAAGGTGCAAAGAAACCTACAAAAGGGGAAAAAAAAGCGTTTCATTTGGATTATAAGAAAGCCAACTTTACACTCAAAATTTCCAAATTAAAAACTCTCAAAAGATAAGAAAACTTCACTAATTGCCACCTTAACAACTTACACTTAGATAAAACCTTGCCCAATCAACAATTGAACGTAATTAGTTACAAAAACAGGGGACGACAATTCAACTAAACTAAAAGTCATTAGTTTTACAAGAGAATAATGATAAAAAAAAAAGGTAAGTAGTTCACTTTTACTAAACTAAAAGTCATTATTCAGATCTTTTGGCGGCAAAAACGATGATTTGAGCGAATTAAGAGTGAGAAGGTCATTTTAAAGAAAATTGAAAGAAAAATTAGAAGGGGATCGGGAGGTACCGGAGATAGCGATGGGAGAATCGTCGATGCCAAACTTGTTGAGCTTCAAAGAAGAGAATCGGTGCCAAAATCCTTCGTCTACTGAACTTTGAAACGGTGCGAATTGCAGTATGGATCCACTCCCCTCTTTTGCCATGCTTTCCCTTTGCAATTTCAATTCTTCCACTTTATTTACTCGCAATTGCGAATTAAGAGTTCGAGTTCTTCACCTCCTCCTGATTTTCTCCCAAACGTTTTCTTATTTACTTCTTTTGTTCTTTTGGTTTCTCTTTTCACCTTCTCTTTCCGGGAACAATATCGTTGCAGACTCGAACAAGATACCGCGCATATCCCCAATCAACTCCGAAATGTCGCCACGTTGGATTTTTTTTGTAAAAAGGAAATTACTCTTAGATATTTTTATTGGAATATACGAATATTAAAACCTGTCTTTAAATAGATTAATTGATTAATATTTATATAACTTAATTATTTGACACATAATGATTTGATTTGACTTAAATTTAAATTCACGGAGAATTTCAAGTTGATTTTGAACTTTTTTAAATTTATGTTCTTTAAGATTTTAACATTAATTGTTTTTGAACTGTTTTTACCTTTTTACACTTTTTTTCATTTTAAACTGATTAAGTTCATAGCATTGACCTTTCTCTGGTAACTTTTAATTTATTTCTTCTAAGAAAGAACCTTTAGTTCTATTTTAAATTATGATTTTATTTTATCAACTATAATTTTTTTTCACTATAATTTCTTCAATCGTTAAATTCCAATTATAAATATAAATGGTATGAAAATTCATTTAAATTTTATATGAAATCCATATCTATGGATAATCAAGATTGACAAAATGCTAAAAAGATTTAATTTGATGCTTTAATTTACTCATGCTTTAATAAATTTGAGTTTTTTTTTACTTAAAATTCAAAATTAAATGAAATTTTTAAAAAATATATACTTAAACTATCAAATTAATTAATTAGGTGGGTTACTTGTTCACGTGCTCCTATAAGTAAATATACATATATAAACATATTTTTAAAAACATTAAAATTATTTAAAAAATTTTAAATAAAATTTTTTATTACGTAAAATTAAATCAAGTATACTCTTATAATTAAAGATTAATTAAATATCATTATTAAAACTTTATTTATTATTTTATATTATATGATATTGATGTGATATAACTTATCATGCCATAATAGATGATAATATAAACTACCAATAAATTCTGTCTAATATAAATAACTAGATTTCACCCAAGAATGTTGCATTGGTTATTACATAAAAAAACAAGGTAGGAATTTCTCTTTTTCCCCTTTTATCACATGAACACAGGCACATCAGGTTTTTATAAATTATTGAGATAAGAATTCATACAGAATACAGTTTCATTACAAGCCATTTGAAAGTGTTCCAAGCTTTTGGGATACAATATTGTATATGGTTGTATATAATATAGATGTTAACACACTTTTTTAAGTTATAGTATTTCAAACCAGTTTTTGCACATAAGAGGCAAGCACAGATTCACAGGAGAGAGATGGCAGTGTCCATTGACACAAACGAGGGCCAAATCTCTTAAGAAGATGAGCTTGAGGAATCGAAATAAGACATCCTCCGTCTCTTGTTTGGGAATATCGAACTTGGCGAGTATTCCGGCGAGGCAGAAGCCTTCTCCAGCACAGAATTCAGGGCCTGGTGAATGGAACATGCAAGAAATCGACGTGCTTCAGCATCATCAGCATGTGCAGTTCTGTAGCCAGCGAAAACGAAATCATTCTTCAACCGACTTCCCAAGGTCGATGTTTCTGCTTTTACCATCTTGATTGGAAGGGCATCGAGAGCTTGCCGAAGATCAGTCAGAAGTTCAGGTCTGTAATCACAACAGATTGATGCCTTGAATAAAAATGTCCCGTTGGCTTCTTCCTCGCACGGTTCAACATTCACCTCATCATCGTCCATTGGAACAAGAAAACCTTTGCTGGCTTCAGTTGCATTCTTCTTCAGTTCCTTCACTTGTCTAATTACTTCACCGAGTAATGTGGCTTTATCCATCTGCAATGAGCAATTGAACAACAGAGTTAAAGTCAAGATTGAAGATAGACCATGAAAGTTACCATCAGCTGAAAAACATCTTCTTACTTCTCTAGAAGTATAAATATATCAATGACTGCTAGTCTGGTCAATAGCAAACTAATCAATCAAATTCTTGGATCCAACTACCAATATATATCCTGCTGATACACTTATCCACTGAAGCTAATAGCAATACAACCAAGATAAGTCTTCTTAAAGCATGTATAGTGCAATTAGGGAAAATTCATCGACTATGAAAACAATGCCATATTGACTCAGATAAATCAGCTATGGAAGGAGTCACATCAAACCAGCAAGTAAGTAGTAGATGATGCATAGACTTTGATCTAGAAAATAACATAAATGAACCCTCTGACTTAATTGATTATAAAAAACCATTGACAAATCAAGTAGAGCAACAACAAAAAAGCATGTCATATAAGGACCTTTCTGGTTCCAGATGTCTAATTCTTGCTTACGTCCCAACCATAAAATAATATCACATACATATATGTCACATAAATTAGTTAATATATCGAAGAAATAGACCAGATGAGGAAGCCATAGCAGAACAGCTGTTACATTGCCCCACTAATCCAATCTTTATCATATTTTTCACTTTCGAATATATGTATATATGATGTCCAACCGACAATGAGTTTTGACAGCAAAAATATTGTATAAAGTAATGTCAACAGATTATCTTATGGGGGTCTTAATTGTTAAATATCACGCAGATATCAGCAGGCTATCGAAGCAGTTGAAGGTAGCATGAAAAAGTTGCTAACCATTAACTAGAAAAGTTCCTTGGATTGAAAATTAAACAAGATGAAAAGAGTTTGACCCCATGCTGCTTTCTTATCTACAGTTAAACTTACCTCGAGTTTGGTTAATATTGAGCATATCCAAATATATAGACTGTCCTCCTCTTTTCTTTCTGTAAACTTCTTTTATATAACAATGCAGATCAGATCAATCCTGTAGACAAGCTTGCATGATTGGCTTTGTTTTTGGAAATACAGAATGAAACTCTGAATATCAAGCATGATTATATCAGAAATATAGTAGTCATCCGATAGAAGGTTTGGAATCGGGACCGCAAAGATGTTCTCAACCATTAACAAACCTTAATCTCATAATTGACAAATTCTAAAACATCTATTAAATATAAACTGAAGCATCCCCTTGGTGACTCTAGTATTTCTGAGATTCAGAGTTGACCTTTCAAGTACAAAAATAATGCAGCAAAAGAGCAATAAATAAGAGATTTCAAGCTTAAAAATTAAATACGTGTCTGCATGACCTCACAGCTTCATTTTCCTTCTTCTCAAGCAGAGGACAACAAATAATAAGCACAATAGCATGTGAGAAGGCCAAATTTGCCATCAGAGCCCTCTAATTTTAGAATGCATAGTGAATTAAGCTTCTCATAATTTTATAGGAATATCTGATTCAAGTTTATCCCACAAAACAATAAATGTTTCATCATTCATCATGGCCAGGTTCTTTCCTACCATTGAACTCATCATGAGCAAAACTCCTACGCTCTTGAAATGTTAACTGATATTCTAAAAATAGAGGCAGATGAATCAAGTATACCAGCTAATTATTTTAGCCTGAGTTGTTTAATGTTATCTGACCTCCATTGTTCTTCCCTTTGCCGCTAAACACCTAAAGCTCTGAGTTTTTTTCTTTTTCCTTTCCCCAACTTTTCTCGGCAATCATACATACTCTATACCTTGACGATTAACAGTTCAAAGAAAGGGCTTGCTGCATGTGGTATCTAATTGATACTACTTATTAGCATCTATGAACTGTTAACAAGGCAGTTTCACAAAAGTTAATTATCCTATGAAGCACATAAATATGAGCAAACTAATCTAGATCTTTCCTCAAAATTCCCAATGATCAATATTCCAGAATTGCTTCAAAATTTTAAATGAACAGGATTATAGAAGTCATCTAACAATGATAAACTAGATTTTAACATAAAATGAACTACTGTCATTAATGAAAAGCTACATGAAAAAGAGAATAACCTTTTCTCTGCAGGGCAAGAGACTGCGGAGTGTATCAAGATGAGCATTGATCCTTTCTCTCCTCCTCCTCTCTGCCTCGCTATGACTCTTCAAAGCCGCGATAACTTTCTCCTCCGACACGCTTTTCTTCCCTACTTTCACCGGCGCCTTCACTAGCTCTCCTTTCTCGCTATCCAAAACCAAGGTCTGTGACACCGACACCGACAACGACCCTCCACGGGAACTTCCATTGCGTGGACCCATATCACGTGAAAGCGGATTAAACAAACCAGAATAACAATTCCCAGATGAAAAGTTGTTGTTGAAAGAGTAAGCGGCCATACGAAACATGCAAAAACGAAGTTTTTGCTGACTTTCTTTCTTTTTTATTTCCTTGGTTGGTTGTTTTACGAGCCAGAAGTGAAAGAGAGGAGACCAGGAGGACGCGTGGTGGGAGCGAACCAGAAGGAGAGCTTTTGGAGAGGGAAGTTTTGTTGGTTAACGACTTTGCTGTTGTTGTTGTTGATCAGTTCTATGGCTGTTATGATGATAGCTTCCATTACGCAAGAGGACAATTCTAGGGAAAGTTTAAGCAGATGAAGATTAACAAGAAAACATCCACATTTTCTTCTTGACGGTCTTGAATCCTACCATTTCTTCGAGATATGTGCGATTCTATTGATAGTTTTGAGATGTTTGAACGTGAAACAAAAAAAGAAAAACAAGATCTTGATATGGGATTTTTGGGATTTCGATGAAATTTCAAGAGGAAATGGACAAACAAGTCAAAAGGAAATTGAGGTTCCAAAATCCAAGTAGCAAGAATTGGATTTCAAGAACAGAGAGCAAGAAGAGAAATTCTGTTTTTCTTGAGTTGTGAAAGTAGAAGACTTTTGAGATTGCAGTATCTAACTGGGGTATATAAATATGATACCACCTGAACTTATAAAGCTGCTAAAAGGTCAATGGATTAATCCAACTCTCTTTAAGGAATCTTAAGGGCCTAAAAAAATCCAATTTTATTCTAATCACACTTTAAATCCTAACCGCACAATACCATGGGGAGTTCTTTTTCTTACTTTATTTGTTTATCACAAATGTGCAATATAATGAATTGTATAATCAATTTATATGCAATTGTGGAATTATTCATCCAATTACCAACCACTCTGAATAGAGTTTGGTATGACCATTTTCTTTTGTTGTTCATTGTCAAAAAGGGTAGGCTAAAAGATACGAAGTTGGGATAGAAGAAAATGAGTTTAGAATACTTTTATCAGGGGATGTCCATTTGCAAAAGCAAACCCACAATTTTTAGTTACTTTTAGGAGTCGATGGTGACTTAAACGAATATTAGTTGCTTGGATCATAGTCCCTCTCCTTCTCTAATGTCCTCCTTTTTTTAGGATATACTCACCTAAATCACTTGCTCTTACTATTATTGTGAATAAAAGCTGATTTGGTACTCTAAACTTCTTAAGTAAAGCCAAAAGACGAGAAATTAATAAATTGGAGGTGAAGGAGGGGGGCAATCTGTTCCTCACTTCCTCTCAACAACTTCTCCATTGACATCAAGATTCCATCTAATTATTAGTATTAATTAAATTATTATAAAAATAACAAGAGCAAATGCAAAACTTTTCTTTTGCAAATTCCCAATAATTTATTGGAAGACTTTCTTTTGGAGGCTACGGAGGTCTTGCTTTATCATCATCTAACTCTTGAAGTGGTCATAAATTTCCTTATTGGCACTACCGTATATAATAAAGACAAATTTAGGATTTCATTTTTTTAATTATGAGTTAATTTGTCTAGATTCAACTCATTTGAAGATAAGATTATATAATATATGAGGTTTGTCTTAGAGTTTGTCTGCTGATAACCTACCCTTCATCAAGCGCTTGACATATGATGCTATAGGTTGATGCAAATGTGTGAAGAATTTGGTAATCTTTATGATCAGGTGAAAGGATGGATGAATCAAGAAACTACTAGCTGATGTTGATGCTCTAGGAAAAGAGGGAGGAAGAAATGAAGCAGGCGGCTTGGTAGTGGCTTTTTGCAGCATACTGGATTCTGATCTTACTTTCTTCTCTTAAGATGGTGGATGATGGTGCCCCTTTTAATAAAAAGGAGAAAAAGAGCTTGAGATATAGCAACAGGGCTTATCACTTATCAAGCGGCTTCATTTATTTAAGTTTCTTACGCGACACAAGGATGGCATCAGTAATGTAAAACTACAGGGCTTAGTAGAGAATAAAGCAACTCGAAACTGAAACTCTTGTGGCTATAAAAACTCATTGTTCTCTTCCTTAAGAAAAGAGGGAAAAAAAGTCAACTGCAAACAATTTGTTTAACATCCATGGAATGGATGTGTTATTTTCTGGGCAAAATGATTAAATCCAAATTCCAGACTATCCCAAAAGTATGTCTACATTCGGCCAAAACCCAAGTGGTTGACAGAAAGCGACAGGATGTTAAAAAATAAAGGCCAAAATCTGAATCCACTAGTCGACTTGCCCTCTTTAAAAAGGTCAAGTGGTGGAAAGCTTGTGGATGGTAATTCTCGTATTCATGGTTAAAATTACAAAGCAAAAGTGATGTGTTGTGCGTAACAGTGTCGCTTGTCTTCTACTTTAGCTGATGGTATGAAGCAGAAGAAAGGTTCACCGCAAGAACAAGTTTTAAATATAAAATGGGGTGGGAAAGTTCCTTAAGAAAGGTTTTGAAACAGATATTCAGCAGGCAAAAGCAGTAGAATTTCTTCATTGCAAACCATAGACAAAAAGTCAAACGGCGAAAAAGAAAACGAAAAGCCATGTCAACAAATTATGGCTCTGTCTTATATCAAATAGCAGTAGCAAAGGGCAGCCTAACGAGCAACCGGAGCCGGAATTGGTGATTTTACCCTTTTCTTTGGTGTCTTCAAGACTCCAAGTAGCCAGCCATTCACAGCATCCAAGAGACATCGCCATGATTAAGAAACTTAAATACAATTGTTCTATTTCTTAGGAAAATCATTTTCATATATATACACGTGTGCTGCACCGTATATTTGTTTATACTGTTGCATGGGGCAGAACACCCAAGCACGTCGTTATACTCCTTTATTTTCAAAATTTGGTATGAAATTTTAGAATTCCAGAAACCAGTAAAACGATGTCGTTTAATTCAGTCACCCAAGCCACCTACTGCTACAGCGAACTTAAAGGAACGTTAGTTCATAACGCCTGCTCTTCTCTCTCTCTCGCTGCCCTCTCTCGTAGCAGCATTCAGCAATGGCCGCCACCACCACTTCCTTTAAAGCCTCACTCTCTTTTACACCGTCGATATCTCCATCGCTCTCTTCTAACTCCAAATCAACGGCACACAAGCTACGGTTTCCTTCATCATCATGGTGTTCACCAACTCTAAAATCACTGATCGCTCGTCATGTCCCCACAAACAACAACGCCTCATCCAACGGCGGCGGATCATCGCTCTCAGCAAAGATGATCTCCGTTCCTTCTTCCATTTCTGCGACGACGTCGCTTGACTTCCATACCTCCGTTTTCAATAAAGAAAAGATCTCTCTTGCTGGTCACGACGAGGTTGGTTAAATGATCATTTCATTTCTTTTCTTTCTTTTTTGGTTTATTTGTTTGCTAATTTATACCATTTTTCAATTGGCAGTATATAGTGAGAGGAGGGCGGCATTTGTTCCCTTTGTTGGATGATACATTCAAAGGAATCAAACAAATTGGAGTCATTGGTTGGGGTTCTCAGGTTAAGGAACCACATTGCTCTTTTTTTCTCTTTTCATATTTTTGTGCAATAAAAGCAAACGAAAATGGTAAAAATCTTTTTGTTTTATCGACTCTATATATGAAAGTCTAAATTTTGAATCTTTTTTTTTCAATTATTCGTTAATCTAATGTCCAATATTACATTCCTTTAACTAAGATATTACCTTTGGTTGCATTATTATTACGAGTTTTGTGGTGATAATGATATGTCCCAAATTTAATTGGTTTGGTCCATTGATTTTATTGCTTTGCCATAGAGTTTAGTCCAAATTTAATGTGATTTATGATATGTTTTCTAGGGGCCAGCACAAGCACAGAATCTGAGGGATTCTCTTGCAGAGGCAAAATCTGATATTGTTGTGAAGGCAAGCTTGGATCTTTTTTTATTTCTTGTTTAAGAAAAGAAAACGAAATTATCCACTCTCTGCATTTGTTTTGCATTCAGTGATTGATTTTCGCTTGACTGAATGTACAATTTGCTCTCAGATTGGGTTGAGGAAGGGCTCTCGCTCTTTTGCTGAAGCCCGTGCTGCAGGATTCTCTGAAGAGAATGGAACTTTGGGGGATATATGGGAAACTATTGCTGGAAGTGATCTTGTATTATTGTTGATCTCTGATTCAGCACAGGTTGGTAGATTTAGCACATTTGTCCATTTTTGCTTTGTACAAGATTGGTCATTATTGTTAGCATTGACTGATTGTATTAGCTGTAAGTGCATACAAGACATCATGCCAAGGCCAAGCGCATCACACAAAAACAAACATTGTTTTTCGAGACTATTGGACTGATAACGAATGATTTGCAAATCCCAACATCTACATGCGCTATCATTCAGAAGTGCTTTCATCAGATTATAGGACTGACTATTTTCATCTTAAGGTCCAGCATTCTTTATTAGAAATCAATTAGCAATAAAACCCTATCTCCAACTTTGGCTGAATTCCTAGGCCTCTCTTTCTTTAAAGCGGGGAAAGCCAATGGTAGGTATCTTGAAGTTTGCTTTCATGACTTCTATGTTTCCTTTTGGATGATGTCAATGCTTTTAAGGATGCAACTCTGCCTGAATATCTTTGTTGGGCTTGATTTCTTATCACTATTCTGGTTGACTCTAATACTTGAGCATTTCCTGCTCCTAACGCATGGGAAAATTCAAAATAAATACTTGATACTCCTTACACTGTTTGGTTTGTTCATAGGAGGTATTTATTTTTAAATTTTGTGTTGCAGGCAGATAATTATGAAAAGGTCTTCTCTCACATGAAGCCAAATAGCATCCTTGGACTTTCCCATGGGTTTCTTCTTGGTCATTTGCAATCTATGGGGCTTGATTTTCCCAAGAACATCAGTGTAATTGCTGTCTGCCCTAAGGGGATGGGCCCTTCTGTGAGGAGACTTTATGTTCAGGGTAAAGAGATAAATGGTGCTGGGATTAATGCTAGTTTTGCTGTCCACCAGGTTCCTCCTCTCTCTAATTCCTAGATTCGGCCAATTAGTTTGAATGACTGTCAAAATTTCAAACTTCCCCAAAAAGCATACTGAATGCTGATGTGTAATTTTGGAGCAGGATGTTGATGGTAGAGCTACAGATGTAGCCTTGGGATGGTCAGTTGCCCTTGGTTCTCCATTTACATTTGCCACCACATTAGAGCAGGAGTATAGAAGTGACATTTTTGGGGAGCGTGGTGAGCAGAGTTGTTTGCATTATTTTGTTCACTATGCCTGTCTTCATCTTTTGGAATTTTAATGCTTACAGTGTGTCATTGTTGCTTCTTTCTGTAGGCATCTTACTTGGTGCTGTTCATGGAGTTGTAGAATGCTTGTTTAGAAGGTATGTTGAGAATGGAATGAGTGAAGACTTGGCTTACAAGAATACTGTTGAGTGCATAACAGGAATTGTATCGAGAACCATATCAACGAAGGTGATCTCTGTTGCTTGCTCTGCTTTCTCCTTCTTTTGGAGTTTACATTTATGGATCTGCTTCTCTGTTTGTTTCTGTAGGGTATGTTGGCTGTGTACAACTCATTGTCTGAAGAAGGCAAAAAGCGATTTGAGGCTGTTTATAGTGCGTCATATTATCCTTGCATGGAAATCCTTTATGAGTGTTATGAAGATGTTGCAAGTGGAAGCGAGATTCACAGTGTCGTTTTGGCTGGGCGTCGTTTTCATGTATGTTGATAGCATTATATTTGTGCTTTTGTGAAGTTGCACATGATAGATCCTTATTTCTTGAATCTTTCATTTCTTAAACTCAGTTCTTACCAAAGACAAATCTTGCTTGATGGTTGATGAAGTATTATGTTACAGGAAAAGGAGGGTCTACCTGCCTTCCCGATGGGTAAAATTGATCAGACACGGATGTGGAAAGTTGGTGAGCATGTCCGAGCAACCAGATCAAATGATGATTTAGGTCCATTGTGTCCTTTCACTTCTGGGGTTTTCGTGGCACTAATGATGGCCCAGGTAATTAATTCCATATTTAATTTTGGACAGCGAAAACTATGGTACTGATCTTATTGGCAGAATAAGTAATCACTTAAAGAATTTTGTTTTGTTTCTAATTATCTTTGTAATTGAAAATCCAGATTGAGGTCTTGAGAAAGAAGGGGCACTCATACTCAGAAATCATCAATGAGAGTCTGATTGAAGCTGTTGATTCCTTGAACCCCTTCATGCATGCTCGAGGAGTCTCTTTCATGGTTGATAATTGTTCCACAACTGCACGATTGGGTTCAAGAAAGTGGGCTCCACGTTTTGATTACATCCTTACACAACAGGCATTTGTAGCAGTCGATTCGGGCGCCCCCATTAACCAGGACCTGATAAGCAACTTCTTATCTGATCCTGTTCATGGAGCTATTGAAGTCTGTGCACAGTTGAGACCAACTGTTGATATATCAGTGCCCCCAGATGCAGATTTTGTTCGCCCAGAATTGCGCCAATCTAGTTAGAGTTGAAGAGATTTAAACTTATTATGATATCTAGGGTGAACATCTTCTAAGAGTTGGGTAGTTTCCAGTAAAAGTTTAATTGAGTGTAGCTACTTGCGAGACTGAGGATCAATTTTTATTATTATCTTTGTTGGTGTTTAACTAATATCATGTTTCTATTAAAACATTCTCAAGAAAGACTACTTAATACGCAAATAGTATGTCAATGGTTTGCTAGATTTAACCAGGATTTGACAATGTGTGGAAGAAAATATCATAGACGATCCTGAGCATCTTTTTTTTTTTGGGCTTCATCTATGTGCAGCGTCCCCTGGTGCTCAGCTTGCCATGAGATTCAAAAGGCATTTAACTACTGTTTCCTTCAACTGTAATCAGACATGCAGACTAAGTCACATCTTAACAAGCTATGGGTTATTTACCTACCTCCTCCCAGCAGGAGGGAGCTTCACAAGAACACTAATTGGTGTTCCTCTTTTGGATATGTAGATTTGTACCTCGTCCTATGCGGACGTGAATTCCGGAATGATCTTAGAATTACGCAAGGCATAAAATCCAAATCATGAATAGAGTAATGACTTAGTTTTAAGAGTTTCATTAATGGGCTCAAACTGGATCTATCTTGCAATCTTGAGTTTATTTCATGGCTCAAATTAGGATTCGTCGCCATTGTAGAAAAAGCACGACAAAAAACTAGCCCTTGGCGCAGCAGGCAAAAATTCTAGTATAACTTGAAAGGTTGCAGATGTCAAGCAGTCACAATCAGCCAGCCTTAGGTAACTTGCTCCATCAGTTCTTCTGTTTATTAGTAATATGTAGAGTGACTCTGAACAAGCACAAAACAAAACAGTGCAATTGATTAGCAGCAAACCTTTGATGCAGGCACCAGAGATCATCAAACTTTGGGATTCTTATTTTGTCATATTAACTACTTTGAAGAATCGTTTCCTGATCCATTCAGAAAAGTCATTTTATTATGTTAAAGTCTAATCGGAATTTAAAACATGAAGACTTCTAGCTTAAACAGTTTGCCAGACTTGTCAGAACACAGGTCTAATTGGAACATAAGCTGCTTGATGCATGTTCAACTAGTTATTTCGAGTAATACTAGATTTAAGAATCTTAAAAGGTACTAAAAGAGTCTACTCCATAGAAATACCCGGCTGTTTTGGCTACCTTTGTCTGCTTTTGAATACGATCAACACAAATCCATGCCATCTGAAGATGTCTGGAATTTATTATTGAATTTATTGCCAGCGCTTTTATAATCAAGCAATTTCAGTTTGATACGAAACAGAATCTTATTAAAACAAAAGTTGTAATAGAATCAAAGCATCAAGTCCCTGTCAGAATATTTTCCAGTGCACGTAGAATGGAGAATTTGTCTGTTAGGAATCTGTGAGAAGCATGGCCTGGGGAAAATTCTCTATATAAACCACAAGCCATCTTGGAATTGGTATGCCTCACATTCCTTCATCACTATAACATTTCTTGAAGTTTACCTGTGGACTGTGGTCTCGAATACAATGGCTTCTACAAGTCAATGCCTGGCCTTACTCTTTATCTTGGGAATTTGGGCTTGTCAGGCCTCGTCCCGTTCTGTTCCTGAGGTATCCATGTCTGACAGGTTTGAACAATGGTTGGCTAGCTATGGTCGAGTTTATCAGGATGCCTCCGAGGAGGAGAAACGTCTCCAGATATTCAAGGAAAATGTGGAGTACATCGAATCTCATAATTCTGATACCAGCAAAAAGTACAAGCTTGGTGTTAATGAATTTTCAGACTTGACCAATGAAGAGTTTAAAGCCATGAGAAATGGTTATAAAATGAGACCTTCCACTTCTTCAAAAAAATATTCTTTCAGGTATGAAAATGTTACTGCAGTTCCATCTAGCATGGATTGGAGAGAGAAAGGAGCTGTGACCAACATCAAGGACCAAGGCCAATGTGGTGAGTAACAGTATTTACAAAGAAATTGATATAATTCTGATTCTATAATGCTAATTGTTTCTTTTAAATGATGTAGGGTGTTGCTGGGCATTCTCAGCCGTGGCAGCCATGGAAGGAATCAACCAGCTGAAAACTGGTAAATTGATCTCACTATCAGAGCAAGAGTTAGTTGACTGTGATATCAGTGGGGAAGACCAAGGCTGCAATGGTGGTTTCATGGATAATGCTTTTGAATTTATAATTTCAAACAAAGGGCTAACAACTGAATCCAATTACCCCTATGAAGGAGTTGATGGAAGCTGCAACAAGAAAAAAGCAGCCAACCATGCTGCTCAGATTACTAGTTTCGAAGACGTACCTTCAAATAGTGAGGCAGCACTGCTAAAAGCTGTAGCTAATCAACCAGTTTCAGTTGCCATTGATGCCGGTGGGTCTGACTTCCAGCACTACAAAAGTGGTATCTTCACTGGCGAATGCAGCACGTTCCTTGACCACGGGGTTACAGCAGTTGGTTATGGAAAAGCTAATGATGGGACCAAGTATTGGTTGGTGAAGAATTCATGGGGCACTAGCTGGGGTGAGGATGGATACATTAGGATGCAGAGAGATATTGATGCTGAAGAAGGTCTTTGTGGTATTGCCATGGAAGCTTCTTACCCAACTGCTTGAGGGTAAAACATATAGAATATATATGATGCAGCTCTTTCCAGCATACACGGCCCTCCTTTCAGTATTCTTGTGCCGTCCTCTGAAAAACTTGTGTGCTTTATTAGCTTATTTATATGAAACCATATGGAAACAAGGCCACATATGTATGTTTTAATTATTGTTGCTCTGTACTTGTTACCTAACGCCTTGAAAACAGAAAGAAAACATCTTCACTCATTTCTCTTGTTTCCTTCGCATCTTTCTACTCGTATATATGAGCAGCATGCATTTCCAATAAGAACCAATCACAATTGATTTAGTCATTGTTATCCCCAAGAGTTTGTTAGAAATATATGGATTGCTTTAAAGAGGGGGAAAACACCTTTGCAATGACAGCATACGTGAAGTAGGCCATCCCTCATACTAAGTTTAACTGGCAAAAGAGATTGACTAAATAACAACTACAACATGTGCACTTCTCATGTGTTCTTAATACTGCTATGTCTTGAATGACAGGGATTACGTCAATAATGGTACTCATCTGTTCTTTGTACTGATGTCATGCTAATGCAAAACTGAACTCAGCTTACTGTGAAATTTTAGAGCCGCGAGATATGGACATGGAAAATGTATAATTCTTTCTGCTACAATGCTTATCTTGTTCACTCACACAATCTCACATTGGATACAAAGCTAAATATATTAAGTTTATCATCCTTTCAAAATGGAACGCTGAGTGTGGAATTACCTAAGCTCAAATTGGCAATTTGAGTCAATTTAAGGGTTCATCAGGCCAAAGCAACAAGCAAAAGGCAAAATTTAACAAATAGAGTTCACAGTAGCACCCTAAAGCATCAGGAATCTTTGCTTATGTTTGTTATTCATAGGAAAACCAAGTAAGGTTTTCTTTAAAAGGACTACACAAGGAAAGAAATATACTCTGAAAGATGGATACTAAAAACGAAAATCTGCATGTAATTTCATTCTTGATCGTCTTGTTTTCTGACGTGGGTTGCCAAAATACAAGTTTCTATCCTGTTTGGATAAGAATGAGGAGGCTTTGAATAGTACTATTTATGTGTGAATAAACCGAGAAGCTTAAAGGCAACAGTGTTGGAATCTTATCGTCATACTGTTCATTAGATGTGGAAAAGTATTTTAACAATTTTGTGCTCTAATCAGACAAAGAGAAGAAAGTCTCTTTCCTTTTCTCGCTGTAACTTCCATGGTGACAGGCAATCAATTGTTTCTAACAGAGCCAATCAAGTGGAATTTCAATAGGAAGCTGAACAAATACTTTATTGCTGATATTTTGTACAGATTCTTAAAGTACAAGAAACATAGGAACCATAACAAACAAATTTATATTAGTTTACACTTGATGAATATTACATGATATTGACAGGTTGCAGCTTAATATAACAGTATTCCAAGTTCTTTCTTCTTCATGCAATTGGGTAAGAAGCTTTCATGGCAACGCCGCAAAGACCTTCCTTGGCAGTTACGTCCCTCTTGAGCCTCATGAACCCTTTCTCACCCCAGTCCGTACCCCACGAATTCTTCACCATCCAGTACTTGGTACCATCAGAGCTGGTTCCATACCCTATCGCCGTGACCGCATGGTCAAGGTATGTGCCACACTCCCCAGAGAAGACCCCGCTCTCGTAAAACTGGAAAGCCCATCCACTACCTTCAATAGCTACAGAAACTGGCTGGTTGGCCACAGCTTGCAATAGGGCCTTTTCGTTGTTAGCCGGCACGTCTTCATAACCAGTTATGGTTGCTGCAGGCGTTGCATACTTGTTTTTGCACTCTCCTTCTGACCCTTGGTAGGGGTAGTTGGCTTCAGTTGTTAGGCCACGGTTGCTTTTGATGAACTGAAAGGCGTTGTCCATGAGGCCACCTTCACATCCTTCATCCTCACCATTGATGTCACAGTCCACAACCTGCTGTTCCGACAAAGAAATTAACTTGCCTTTCTTGAGTTGTGTTAATCCTTCTATAGCCGCCACAGCCGAAAACGCCCAACAACATCCTATATTTTGACACAATAACAAGTGTTAACCCACCATCAAATACGTAAAGAAAAAGAATAAATCCTTCTAATTCATGAATTCTCATTTACCGCAGGTGCCTTGATCCTTGACAGAGGTCACGGCACCCTTTCTTCTCCAGTCGACAACAGTTGGCACAGCGGTTACGTTTCCAAAACGGAAAGTTGAGGATTTTGAATTGGACATCAATTTGAGGGACTGGCGTTTGAAGCCAGTGTGTAGGGAACGGAACTCCTCATTGGTTAAGTCTGCAAATTTATTTACACCTAGCTTGTATCCTCTCTCCACACCATTATTAAAAGCTACAATACGTTCAACGTTTTCCTTAAATATTGCATAGCGTTTCTCCTTCTCTGCTGCGTCCACGTAGATGCGGCTGTGCAGAGCCATCCATTCGTCATGCCTCTTCAGCATGTGTTCCTCATTGAGAGGGCGACAAAGGGCAAGGGATTTCCAGATGGAAAAGACTAGGAGAAACGCCAAGCATAGGTTTTCAGCCATTGAACTAAGATTATCTAGGATTATAGAAAGTGAATCTTTTTCCAATTGGCATACCAACTTCAAAAGAGCTATGGGGGTTTTATAGACAAAGCTTTTCTCATCACCCTACATCCCCACCTCAATTGCGCTTGATAAGACCTGCTCCCACAGCCCCACTCTACGTGCCTTGAAATATGTTCTGACTTAGACCTCAAAATTGGAATGCAGTACTCTGTCAGATGAGTCACAATTGGTAACATGCAAAACTAACTTTGGTAATCATGACACTCAAAAAGCCAGATACCTCTCTGCTAATAAATTATGTCATATGTCAAATACAGCTAGATTTTCCATCTAATCAAAGTTTAAAACCTCATATGCAAGTAACAGATCTTAATTGTATTATCCTGATGTAAAATAAAAAAATGAAATGAAAGATAGAAATCTGAAAAAATATCGAAAAAACCAATCTTCCAAGAAGTTTTATGCATCTGGAATTCTGTTGCCGATATATAATTGTCCTGATTTAGTCTTTAGCGTGCTTGATCGAAAGTTAAGGAGACGTCGAATGAAGAGACGGGCGATAGAATAAGGTGCGATTAAGCATCAAAGGGACGAAGCAACAGTCTACAGCAGAGGAAATCGCGTTAAACAAGCAACATATATCAAAACAAAGCAGTTGTTTCGCTTTCATTCTGTTACGTTTGACAAGGCATTACCAGACCTAAGATTATGGCCAACCTCAAGGGCAGTGGCCCCTTCAGCCAGGACTATTTGGTTCTTCATCCTGATTCATGGCAGATACCTTGATCAAGTTGTATGTAACCCTTGTAGGTGAAACCTCCATGAATCAGGGCACTCCATCAATTTGCATCAATAATTTATCTTGACAGGAAAAGAAGACAGCAGCCAGAATTCACAAACTCATCTTGCAATTCATGGTGTAGTCTTCTTCTGCTTTGAAAGTCCGAAAAAAGGCATCTCTTAGTACCAACCCCTGACTTACCTCTCCGAAGTTACTACAAAAGAAGATTGATAAGATAAGATCCAAAAAGAACAAAAGTTAACACAACTAAGTTGAAGTTTAAATAGTGCAAGTTTGGTTACTTCCATAAACCAAGAGGATGCAGGCAAACATAAGCAAAGAAATTATGGAACTTGCAATGAGTGCTTAGAAATTATTGATGAGGTTCAAGTCCATAATCCGACAAGCAATCAGAAGAGGGGAAATAGCCAAGTTTTTTCTACATCTCTTTGAATTAAACATTGAAATCCATCCCATTTGTGGAATCAAGTCCCTGTCGCAGTGTCTATTATTGAATATATGGAAAGAAAATCCAAAAAGCTGGTACATGGTTCCGTCCAGTAAAATGATACCAAAAGAAGCAGCCACTTTTTGTATGTAACATCACATCGTAATTTCAATTGATAGTCCACAGAACCTCCAGATTTCAACCCAGAGTCACTAACCTTATCAATCATTAAACATCCTACTTTTACTGCTTCAAATCAAAATCATGCCCGATTCCATCAGAGTAAGATTCCTTTCATTTTAGCATTTGTTGGAGTTCCAAGATCCCATCTCTCAGCAGGCATGAAGAAACCAACTGATTCACGGGAGTCCCGAAAAAACCCAGCTTTGTAATACTAGCCATGCAAGTCAAATCAAACCCTTTTATCCTTTCCCATAACAGAGTATATATCACAATCAATCTGAGAAAGCAAACTTTATTACGTCAAGTATCCTCAACCCCAACTTAAAAAGGCTGGGCTGCTTGTAATGTCACTGTCCCATGAATAAGCAATTACATATACTTAATTTGACAGTATTTATTGCATTCGAATATTTAGTTTATTAATTAATATATTATTTTTTAAAAAAAAATAAAATTTGATTTTTTTTAATTATAAAAAAAATTAACAGCATTTACTGTATCAATTCAAGTCCAAAAACGATAAGTTATTGAAACTAAATTACATGATTCTCAAAAGATTATACTTAAATTATTAGTTAATTATGAATTTTTGTATAAGCTTTAATAATAAAATTTATATTAATATAAGATAAAGTATTATACTTACCTAATGGCTAAAATTTAACGTTGATGGGGCTGCTAAGGGCTGTCCTGGTTCTCTTAGCATTGGGGGTGTGCTAAGGAATGATAAAGGTATGGTGAAAATTCTTTTTTCGAAAACAGGGGGTTGGGGTGATGCCAATCTTGCAGAAATGTTAGCTATTCGAGAGGCTTTAATTCTTTTTATGGCAACAGATTGGTGTCATCAGTTTGGGTTAATTATTGAAATTGATTCTTTAAATGCTGTTAATTGAGTCTCAAAACCACTTTCCTCTCCCTGTTGCCTTAGAAATCTGGTGTTAAAAATCAAAGCTCTGCTGAGTAAGATTCCTAGATGGCAGATTATTCATATCCCGAGATCTAGGAATGAATTGGCAGACAGCCTTGCCAAATTGGGGGTGGAAAGAGCCACAGACCTATTGCGAGCTCTTCCTTAATTGTCATGTTATGCTTTGTCTGCTTGATCGACTTCCTCACGGGGTTTGATGACTCCTTTATGCTTCAAGATTCATGATTTGTGTGTACAGGGGTTTAATGTGGTCTTAGTTCAGCCTTGCCATGGTGATATTGGGAGTTTTGAATTTTGTTGTTCTTGATTTTGGCTTGGTGCAGCAAGAGAAGGAAACAGGCATGCTGGTTACGTTTCTTCGTCTTACTGATTTCTTTTTTGGTTTTATATTTTGAGTTAGTGGGGATCTGTTGGCTAAAGGGTTATATGTAAATGTTAAGATGAATGGTTTAAAAGGCAAGGTTTCTTTGTCTGGTATTTCTATCTACCAATTTGTCTCCAGGGTCAAGACAAGTGCTCTTTCTAGTTTTGATCCTCATCTGTTTGTATATGGACTTCCTTTATTTATGAATGAACTCTAACTTTCAAAAAAAAAAAACTTTTACTATTTTCCAACTTCTTTGTTTGGGTTTCTTAAGTTGCAGATTTCAGTCATTGAAAATTATCCATGATTTGTGGATGCCCATTGTTAAAATTCCATTATATATTATTACTACATGTTTTCTCCCACTGATAACTCTATTATATAGAGTTACCATAGGCATCTTTGGAGCTTGAATTTTGCTAAGTCTTTTAGTTTTTTTTTTATCATTAGGTAGTTTCTAGTTTTCTTTTTAAAAATAATTTAACTTATGTGATGCCAAGTTCCATTTATGCAAGTTTAGCTTATTTTCTCGTCAAAATCCCTCAATCCAACCTCTAATTATTTAATCCCTTAATATTGAAGGACATGCAAAGACTTGGAGCATGAATGCAAAGGAGGGTGCAAGTAGGCTTAAAAGTAATCAAACATGCTGAAGTTTGTAGAGTATAAATTAAGCCGTAGAAGTCCGATTGAGGTAAATCTCGAATCAATGGAAAGCGGAAAGGATGAGCTATAACTTTGATGTTCAGCACTTGACCCAAATCAAAAGGAATCATGGCTAAAAATGAAGTGAAAAGTGTAGGCAACTTGAAGGAGAAAAACAGGGGAACAGAACCTCCAGCGCTGCAGCACAAGTTTCCAACGCTGCAGCGCTGTCCTGTGAAGCAAAGAATTCCAAGTTAGAGAGTTTCTCACTGCAACGAGAATGGGTTCTTGCTGCAGCAAAATATTGGGCATATTTGGTCAAAAGGATTTTCGCTGCAGCGAAATTCCATTCTCGTTGCAGCGAAAATGAAGTTGTTTGTAATATCAAGTCATGAACAAATTCGTTGCAGCAAAATTCCATTCTCGCTGCAGTGAGAACACGTCAGACAATGAACATTCCTGCACGGGTTTTTAGGGCAAGCTAAAAAAAGATGGGGTATAAATAGAAAATTTTGCACTGAAAAAGAAGAGGATTTGGAGAGACCATTTTGGGCAAAAAGAGGCAAGAACAAAAAGGGAAAAACAAGAGGAATCAAGAGTTGAAAGATTCAAAAGCTGCAACAAAACATTTTCTCACTCTAGATCTGATTCTCTATTTCTTACTCTTTTTGTAGAACAATGTTTTTGTTTACTGAAATGTGTACTTTCCTTTTGAACATGTTGAGCTAGAGTTTTTAATTTAGGATTATGGTGGATGCTATTATATAGTTGGAATACTTTGGATTCTTCCTCTACTTGCTTTTATAAGAATATCAATATTTATTCAAATTTATGCTTATTGTCTCATTTATTGCTTGATCACCAACAAGTTGAGTATGGAGTTTTAGATGAGGCTTGAGAAGGACAATTTAAAAGGATCCAAATTTGAGTAATGTATGTTCATCCCATATTAAGAAATTAAGTGAGTGATTAATTAATAGGATAGACATATACCTATTAATCATACATAGTCACTATAGGTCCTAAACTTAGTGAACTTAGCTTTAGTTAATGTTCTATAGACATGTAGATAGTTAATGAAGCTAAGCAATTGTGTGATAACTCGACAGAGTACCATGCATGCTTTGGGAACTTAGACTAACATTGATTCTCATAAAAAATAGGTAGTTGATTGATCTTATATCCTTACAAAACAATAGCTGAAACCATAGTCCTAGACCTTAATTATATTGTTTCCTCACTACACATTTAATTTGCAATCCTTAGGTTAAAGTAGACTTTTAGTGTAAATTTTATTTCAATTTTAACAATTTGTTCTTCTTGTTGCTTGGATAAAACTTAACTTGTTACAATTTTAGTAATTAGTAACAAATAGTAAATTAACTCCTCGAGGGATCGACAACTCTACTTATCACTATATTACTTATTGCGATCGTATGCACTTGCGCATAATCCTTACTTGTATTTCACAGTTAAATTTCAAGCACAATCCATATCAAGTAAAAGATTTATTTATTTAAATATTAAGCAACACCCACTCATTTCAAAGAACATTTTATCAGTTAAAACTTGCTTTCAATTTAAAGTTTATGATTCCAAACTTAGGATTCAAACTAGTGAAGCTTAAGCAACTTGAAGGGTTCATAATTCAAATAGTTTCATACTTACAATTATCAATTAGAAGAATTATTCATGCATGGATATGGATTAATTAGTAGTTCTACCTTTGGGTAACTAAATGTTGCGTTGTTCGGATTTGATAAAGATGGAAAAAAATTTAGATAATTCGAGTAAAATTTTCTGTTTGAATTCCATTAGTTTTGTTGTATTAAAAAAAAAATATTGGTAAATATAAGATCAAAGAAAACTTAATTTAATCCATATGAGATAACATTAATCAACAAGAAAAATATGATTAAAACCTTGTGGGAGAATAAAATATTGAATTGAATAGGTGTTTAAACTGTTTATTTTAGTACATAGAGAGTACGAATTTAATTTTCTCTTTCGGCCTAAAACCCAAATCACTAAAACCCTAATTTAACTCAAATTCAAAGAGCCCAACAATTATATGATCCAACCCGGCCTAATCTTGATATCTGCTTAAGTACGTTTCCAAACGTCGACGTTTTGTCTCTTTGGGCTCTGAACGGAAAAACTAGATATCCTAGTCCTACACTGACTGAAATGCCGCCCCGATATATTTACGTTCATGTTAAGCGAACAGAGACAGAAAATTCCTCTCTTTTCATCAGATTACAAAGCGATTGATCAGCTGAGAATTCTCCCTCCAGTTTAAAGGTAACTCTTCTTCTTCTTCTTCTTCTTCTACGTAGCGTCTCAAAATTCTTTGTTTTATCCGCATTGTAAAGGATTTTTAACAGATTGAATAGAACCCTAGATCATGTTATTGCTTGTTTTAGGGTATCTTTTGCTTTCTTTCATGGGGTTGAACGGATGGTTTGCTTAAAAATTAATTAAAATCTTTTGATTCTCCAGTTGATTAGTCTACATATTGGGTTTTACAGATGGAAGCAGCGAATGTCATGGATTCGGAAGCTGTTCAAAAGCCTAAAGTCATCTACCGCTGTAAAAAGTGCAGAAGAATCGTTGCTTCAGAGGAAAGCATAGTTCCTCACGAACGCGGAAAGGGCGAGCAATGTTTCAAATGGAGAAAGAGAAGCGGGGAGAAGGAACCGACCCAATGTTCCTCCGTATTTGTGGAGCCCTTGAAGTGGATGCAACCAGTGCAAGAAGGGTATGTGGAAGAGAAACTTCAGTGCATGGGCTGCAAAGCTCGATTGGGTTCCTTCAATTGGGCTGGTATGCAATGCAATTGTGGAGCTTGGGTTAATCCTGCTTTTCAGTTGCATAAAAACCGGTTGGATGAGTGCCATATGTGACCTGTCCCAGCCTTACTGTTGCTTTATAGGAGAGTAAGAAGAAGTTCCAGTGGTTATCTTGTAAAGTCGATTAGTGGGTTGATACTCAGAGATTAACATTTGTAGATGATTTTTAAGATTTTTTAGTTAGCCTTGATGAATTGATGGTTATTTTTATGAAATTACTGCCGTTTTCTTTTCGTCATGCACCCTTTTCTGGTGAAGAATGGGATAAACTGAATTTTAATCGATGGATGGGCAGCTGACTTGATTTTGTTTGTGAAATTTACATCTGATAATCAGATGTAACCACTGAATAATAAAGTCACTTCCTTTTATTGTTCTTTGTTGAATATTGGCATCAGAAATGCACTAATTCACATAGAGAAAATTGCATAGAAGTGAGACATAGAGCAGCAAAAGCAATAGCTACTACAGGGTAAGACTAGGTGGAGCATGAAGTAACAATATCACTGGAATCTGTTGGCTCCCCAAGAGCAGGACAGTACATTTTACTGCCCAGCAGCAAATGCCTCAACGGGGAAGGTCTTTTTTACACCAGCAAGGCTCTTGAAGTGAATTTTTCCGGTGGGTGGGTCATCCACTTCAATCTCATTTACGGGTGGCCACAACATGAGTTCCTTAGCCTTCACTCCCTTGAGCTTCTTGATCCGCTTCTTGTCGATGAAACCAGTGATTTCGGTGGCATAGCTGACCAGCTTGTTGATCAGCTTGAAGTTGTGTTCAACCTTGTTCTTTTGCACAATCCACATGAAGCCCGTGTTCCTTACGAAACCAACTTCAATCACATCTGCAAGAGGGAGAAGTCCCATTGGGAGCCCAAACTCTTCGAGAAGAGCAGTCGCCATTTTCATTCCCTCGTCATGGCCCTTCTTCACGATTCCTCCCTCCTTCGCTGCCATTGTAAATGGAATTTCGAAAACCTTTTTATTACCCTTAAATCTTTTGCTGCAATTGGTTGGAGTTGTGATCGTAAACATGGAATAAGGAAATTATTTATACTTGAGTGCACGCACGCTAATGACAAAATTAAAGGGAAAATCGAGGTTAAATGCATTGTGTTAGCCACCAGACTGGGTTTTCATATCAAACCGGCCTTCCAAGTTTTTAAATGTCTAAACAAATTTGCCACATTTATTCCCATGATTAGTTTTACATCCCTTTGTAGGAAAATGGATGGGGAAAAACCTGGTATCACTACAATGCCATTTTGTTGTACACTGACAAGTTAATCACATGCACACACTACTGTTACCCGATATTTGATTTTTGCGTTGAACGAAACCTCAAATGGCATGGGAATATTGGGGGAATTCATCCTAATAGTGACTAATGTTATGAATATTTATTATAAGAAACAAAGTGTTATACATTTATACATATTTGTATGGTCCAAAATAGATTAAAGAATTTTTCTCTGTCTTCCTTGCATTGTCTGCATTTGTAATTACTAATTATATTCCTTTTTGTTTCGTCCCAGCTGTATCTATTGGTGGATCTACATCGTTTTTGCTGTAATTTTCCGGGTTTTCTTGTTGTTTTGGCCATTAGAGGATGAGTTATATTCTTGCTAACGAAAACTGTATGGCCTGCATCCATAGATCAGGTTCCTTGTGCCAAAAACAGAGAGGGGATGGGAAGGCAATTTCTTTTGGTCATGCAATTGGCAATGCATCATTGCTGTCCTTGACAACTAATACTATCATTTATGGGCAGATCTTTGGCTGATAATTTGTTCAAAGTTTATTCCACATGATCAAGCTGCCTGAGCAAGGCCATCAAAAGCAGATAAACCCTGAAGCTAGATATTTCATAGAAGAATAAAACCCCCCTAGTGCATTTACACTGAATTCTTTTTGTTGCTGAGAATTTCATTCCGAGACAAATCCAACTCACTATCATGTTGGAGTGCCTTATGCATTGGGACCAATTTTTTTTTTTTAATCAATATATCTAACAGTGTGCTTCAGTTTTCACATTTGTGGAGACTGTACATTCCAGGGGAAACAGAGCTACAGTTTGATCCCACTAGGATATAAAAAAGATATGCAGGGTATAAACCTACAAATTTCTATGATGTTTTCAATATTGAAAGTGATTTTTGTCCCTAGCATTGTGTGTCAGTTAATTGGTCTGAAGTTCACAGCCAGACCACGCACGTCAGAAATTTGTTGTTCTTTAATATCAATCATTAGCATCATAAAATCGGACTGGCAAACCACTCCCCTGAGTGAATTTCTTCTCCTTTTGGCTCTTTGCTTATGGTCAATGGTGAATAATACTTGTAAACTCTTTAATCTCTTTCTACTTTGTATTTAAAAACTACCCCATACACCTTTCCCAGCAGGAGACTTTTATCATATAAATATCACCTTTGTTTTCTTCATAATTAAAAAATTGGGGTTTAATAGGTTACTTAGTCTTCCAAAATCATCGATAGGATTCAAAGTCTTAAGACAAATGAATTGACTAATTGAGGAAACCTCCCCGTACTTATCACCTTAATTTCTTTTTCCAATAATTCGGCCCCAACAATGATCCGTTCCCTTTCGTTTACTTGAGTACGCAGTATGCCGGGTACTAGGGCCTGGGGGACCGTTGACGTTACCTGCACTTGATCAACTGAACCAGAGTTAGGAAATCCCTGGGAATCTGCTATTAATCTAAGCGGGCGCTGACATATGGTGTATCACTGTCGTTGTCATGTGAATTACCCAGTAATATCTACTTTATTAGACAAGTTGACAGTACGACCAATTATTATATTGTTGAGTTGTTAGGTTGTTCTTCTCCCACACGTATAATATGATTAATTCAACAAAATTTTCATGCAGGCATATAATTAGCAACAAGTTTATTACTAGGTATCTGATCTACGCCATTAAGGAATGAAAGTTATGAAGGGGCTGCTGCCAGCCGGAATTTTACATTTCTATGACTGTTAAATGTAGGCGAAAGTGCTCATTGTATTCATCGGTAATCCTTGCTTAACTCGGTCTGGTTGCTTCTGAGATTTGTAATCATAAGGCAACAATCTACGCGGAGCGTTTTCCCAGATACCATTTTGACTAGTGCTTTCTTTTCTTTTGTCTTTTTAATTTTTAAAGCAGGCCTATGTCTTTACTTGTACTGTTAGGTTTTCGAGATATTAGCAGCTCATTTTTAATTTCGAAGCAGCTGCTAGGCTTTTTCCCTCCATAAAGCTTTGTCGCTAAGAATTGAGCAACTTCAGGACAAGAGAAAACGAAAAGTCCCGTGGGGACTATTTTCCCTCTGACATAATAATCTTATTATATTTTCTTTCTTACCCCTCTTCAGTCTTTGACCTTCCCTATATATATAGGTATGAAGTACCATTCATCCTCAACTTGAATTCCGAAGAGAAAAGCTTAAGATTTCTAAACCACTCAAAATGACGGTTAGAACTCTCTCTCTCTCTCTCTCTCTCTCTCTCTCTCTCTCTCTCTCTCCTGGTGTGCATGCCTTTCTGTGCGTGCTTTTTAGCTTTTGGCACCCTCTTATACTAACTGCCATTATATCAGATGACTTGAGTCTTTTTTTTTTTTTTGCTTGTTTCTTTCCCCAAAGTTAGTTTATAAATATTTGACTATCACTTGATCGAACATGAAGATTACGGTTTATTACTTTTTCTGCAGATTGTAGAGATAAGAGTACATATGGACTGCGAAGGCTGCGTGGCCAAGATAAGGAAGGCTCTTGGTAAACTCAAGGGTATGTTCTACTTTCATGGAGTTCATTTATTTATTCTGTTTTTCATAAACAGAAAACAGAGATATTATCCATATCCAATGCTTTGTTGTTCATGATCATCTTCATGCATAAGATTGATCTGATTTACAGTATGCAAGCTCTTGAAGCTCTAACGATTAATGTTAATGGCTTTGGTGATTCCTTTCAGGAATCGACAGTATCGATATAGACATGGGCATGCAAAAGGTAACAGTCATGGGATGGGCAGCGTCAGACCAGAAGAAGATCCTGAAGACAGTGAGAAAAACTGGGAGAAGAGCAGAGCTATGGCCATATCCATATCACCCTGAGAACCAGTTTTACTACGAGTACTATCAAAGCCAACCCGTAGTTACCTACCATGCAACTGGGCTTCCGTCATCCTACAACTACTACAAGCATGGCTATGATGGTCATGATCATGGTTATTATCAGCCACCGCCTTATTCCACTCTTGTGGATCAACAAGCCAGCTCGGTCTTCAGTGATGAAAATCCCCATGCTTGCTCCATAATGTGAGCTTTATGTAAATAAGGAGATTTTAAGTACGTCTTTAATTTTTAATTTTATTTTTCTTTTCGGGGGTTCTTCCTTCCTAAGAATTGTATCAATTTTGTGTGTTGAAGGATTTGCTTGTGCCTTTGGCTAGTATTAATTTGTTTAAGTCCCCTTGGCGCTTAAGTCGCACGTATGCTTGTTTCTCAACAGCTTTCATTTTCGAATAAAGAGAAAACTTTTAAGAGAAACTTTTTCTCAATCTTCAACACGTGCATAATAAGTAACATTCTTTCCCAAAGAAACGAATACACATATGTGTGTAACATACTCAATAACTCACTATATATTGCAGCATCTACGTAATATGGGGTGAAATGAGTTTCATAAATGAATTCAAAATCCGATTAAGGTTATTAATAAAGTACTTTATTTTTTAAAAATATGAAAGTACAACGTCAAACACTTCCAAAGAAACAAGACAGAGTGTTTCAAATTCAATCTCATTCTAAATAGGTGAAAAGATCTTAAAAAAAGTTAGACATGATATCTAATGAAAGCACTTAAATTATTTTAAAAAAATTAAATAAATTTCTATAATTTTATTGAGTTCATTCAAGTTTTTGTGTTTTTATCTTTAAATAAATAAATATTTTTATTTTTATTTTAAAGTAAATAAATCCATATATTTAATATTCAATTGTTATTCTATGTTATACGATGTTGACGTGTTATATTAACATGTTATTATTGATAACAATTTGATATATTAGTGTAATATAATTATATAATTATATGATATTTTTTAATCTTCACATCAATACTTGAAATAAAATAATAATTACTATTTTGACTAATACAATTAGTCAACTAATGTTCACGAAAATTTATTTAATTTAAAATAAAAAATAAAAAATTTTGTAAATTTTTTTCCAAATATTATATCATTAACTAATTATAAACAAAAACGCCATATATTTTATACGGATAAATTTTTGTAAAAAAAAGTAATGACTGCAATGAAATTATTAATTGAACAAACCAAATTACTTAATAAATTGTCTTACAACTGATACAATGTATACAATCTTGTTACAACAAACAATGATCACTGCTTTGATGATTCTTCAAACTACAGTAGCATATTGTGTTGTTAGTGTTTGCAGAAGGATAAATTTCACATACTACCGAAGTACGTAATGCAAGAAAATGCTGTCAAATGATAAAAAAGAGGAGAAGCGTGCAAAAGATAGTGACACATCCAGTACGCCTGCACCGCACAATAATTGGAAAAAGCATGGGCCCACTCAGAACTAGCGTCCCGTAATCCATATCCAGACAAAACGACGAAATGACCGAAGAGGCGTCAATGACTATCGGCGAAGCACAGATGATATTTACTAAATCCACCCTACCAACAGGACACGCAACCCCATTGGTTGGTCAGCAAAATGTTCGGTAACCCAATCGCCCTCTCTCCCTCACAGCCCCTTCCAAACTCTAGGCAATGCACGGTTCTGTTTGCCCCAAGTCTTCCAGATTGTTCCTCTCCCAAAATCTCGTCCCCCATTTTTTTTTTTATTTTTCCCCTCTATTTCCAGCATTATTATTATCGAGAATTTATTGGTTTCCAAAAATTGAGGAATGAGCAGAGCAATGGTGATGCAAGGAAAGGGAAAATACAAAATATAAAAATGAAGATTAGGATATGGTCATTGGTCATGAATCATGATGATGATCATGTTATCATCGAGATAAGGAGAACGGTATGGGGCAGATGCTGACATAGCATCCAAGAGACCGCAAATCGAGGAAGTTTGTTTTTTGTTCCGAGTGTGTGTCAGCGGATATAAATAGAAATGGCAATGGCATCTCTGATTCATGCAGGATGCGGTTATCCGCCGAGATTCAGTAATAATTGTAATAATTGTAGTTTCAGAATCGGATCCTTTGGACCCTTCGGCTCCTCCTCACCTTCCTCGTCTTGCTCCTGTTCTTCTTCTTCTTCTCCCAATTTGAATTTCCGTTCCGGTAATGTTTGTTATTGCTTAATTCTGTGTTTCTTACTATTTTTTCCTATTTTTTTTTTTTACTTTCCTTAATTAGGAAAGGATTTGAAACATTTAATTAAAACTATTTGATTTCGCGCCAGGAGATGTGGGATTTTGATTTGGTAGGGGTTTAGAATTCGACTGATATTTATATGAACGATTGATGATGATAAAAGAAATTAAAAGAAAGCATTATTTTCGTATATCAGTAATTTTGTTTAGGATTGAGGTTAGGAAATGTAGAGAATTGATAATTGAAACATGTGAATTACTGATCAAGCGCCTTGTGGAAGTGCATTTTGCTTGAACACTCATTTGATTTTGTTAAACTTGTACAGGAACAAATAATAATTGGAAGCATCAAGGCCATAGAGCTCAAGCTATGAGTACTGCAACTCAAGGAAACTCTGCTTCATCCAAGAGCATTTCGAACGGGAAAAATGAACCTGATCACCTTCTTGTTCTTGTTCATGGCATCTTAGCTAGGTATTTGGTCATTGACTGATTGATTTCAGTTCATCATAAACTATATTCATAGAATCAGTTAGTACTTAAAAGAACGATCATGCATAACAAAGTGGAGCAAATGTAGTAAGCCGCTGTTAATACTTAATAGATTTGAGGAGTATTTGTGAATCTGTAAAAGAATACATATAAAAAATTGTGAGTCTTTATGGCCTTTATTTCCAAGTTGATGTCAAATTGGCTGAAGGACTTTCCTTAATGTAGCCCTAGTGATTGGACGTATGTAGAGGCAGAGTTGAAAAGGCGGCTTGGAAGAAACTTTCTGATTTATGGTGTGCTCATATCTTCAATCTCATGTAATTTGTATGTATAAAGATAATTTATTTACTTATTTATTTAATAAATTGTTGCAGCAAGTTCATGTAATACCTATACTAAAACCTTTACTGGGGTTGATGGAGCTGGAAAGCGCTTAGCAGATGAAGTGAGTTGTTAAATCTTTGTGGAAAACATTTTGCATCAAGTATAGGCTTCCTAGGCATGTTTTCATATCTTGTGAGTTTTATGGTATGAATTTAAGTTTTCTGCACTATTGGTAACTCCCTTCACTGTTTTTTGGTTTAATAGGTTCTGCAAGTTGTGAAGAAGACTGAAAGCCTGAAAAAGATTTCATTTTTAGCCCATTCTCTTGGAGGCTTGTTTGCAAGATATGCAGTTGCTGTTCTTTACACAGAAAATGACTCAAGTGGCACCCAGTCTGATAACTTAACTGATTCTACGCAGGGAAATTTACAAACATCACGCCCTTCAGGACGCGGTACGATTGCTGGACTGGAGGCAGTTAGTTTTATTACCTTGGCAACTCCACATCTTGGGGTGAGAGGGAGAAAGCAGGTTTGTTCTGGAGGGTGTTGCTTATCAGGTTTATTTCATACATAATATTTTAGTTACAAATGAGTGTTGGAGATATAGCTATGCAAACTTGTGATGTCCTGTAATTCCTATGTTTTTGCCATGCTGCTTGCATCTCATTGGGTACTATCTTTAATGCTGAAAATGTTTATTTAGTGATCAGTTGTACTACTATCATCTTTCCTCTGCATTTTGCAGTTTCTAATATAGTCTTTGTTTTCCTTCAGCTTCCATTTCTCTTAGGAGTTCCTATTTTAGAGAAACTTGCCCCACCAATTGCTCCATTTTTTGTTGGTCGAACTGGTAAACAGCTATTTCTAACTGATGGCAAACCCAACAGACCGCCGCTGCTTTTGAGGATGGCATCTGATTGTGAGGATGGGAAATTCTTGTAAGTAAAGCAAGCTTTTACGATGACTGAATAAACTTGCTTTTGCTCTGATTTTATTATTATTATTATTACATTTTTTTTTATGCAAATGAGGAAGTCCAGGGAGGAAGGTGTGGATCCGAACCTTGGACCTCTACTCCTCAAGATACTGCCTGGCCAAGTCTAGGTTGTTTTTTGTGACTGACTTTATGTTTATAATTTCTATTTTACAGATCTGCCCTTGGTGCATTTAGGTGCCGCATTGCCTATGCAAATGTATCTTATGACCGTATCCTGCCTAATCATTTCTCTCTTGTAGTAAATTTAGCTGCCCATGTTGATTTTCTTCTTGTTATTCCTCTCTCCCACCCTATTGGGCACTTTCTTTGACATCAGATAGATATGGTTGGTTGGCGCACATCCTCCATCAGGCGAGAGAAAGAACTTGTCAAGGTGAATTCCTTGTACCCCAGTATCTAAAGATGTGCTGCACTGTCTCTTATAACAATCAGCACTTAAATTAGAATTATTAAGGGAATTAAAATAGATGAAATAGAAAGTACTGAACAAGAGCATCTTAACTTCATGCTTATTGCTGACTTTCCTACTTATTTGGCAGCCCCCACTACGATCTTTGGATGGTTACAAACATGTTGTGGATGTGGACTACCGTCCACCAGTTTCTTCTGACGGCCCCAGTTTTCCTCCCGAAGCTGTCAAAGCAAAGGAGGCAGCACAGAATGCACCTAGCGTACAAAACACAGTCGAATATCATGAACTCATGGAAGGTAATTGTTTCTGCTGATATCTGATGGTGTGCCAACTATATAATAATTCTGATTGTGCCCGGATGGTAATAACCATCTTGTTTTGTTAACAGAGGAAATGATACAAGGTTTACAGAAATTGGGATGGAAAAAAGTTGATGTCAGCTTTCATTCCGCACTCTGGCCCTTTTTCGCCCACAATAACATCCACGTAGTATCTCTATCATAAACTTTTGATTAGAAAAATGTTTCTCCGTTCAACTTTTCATATGATTTTTTTCCCCTTAATTCAGGTAAAAAATGAATGGTTTCATAATGCCGGCGCTGGAGTAGTTGCTCATGTTGCTGACAGCCTTAAGCAACAAGAATCCTCTTCCCCATTTATTTCTGCTAGCTTGTAGCCTTGAAATGTATGCAAGTGCGATGTGCCAGTGCGCCTGAAGCATATTGTAAAACAAATTACACAAGATGAAATGAAGAAAATGAAAGATCTCTTATCACGTACTGATATAAATCCCATTTCCGTAGGATTTCTTTGAGAACATTAATTGGCATTTACATGCTAACCCATAGGCCCCTGTTAACACAGGATTCCTTACATTTTAAGGATTTTTATCTTTCCAATGCTTTCCAAAGCTTCACTGTTGTAGCCATTAGTCCTGAGTTGCTTTTGTCTGTGTAGAAAGGTTAATGACTTTGAATGACTTTACTCTTTCTTTTCCTTTCCAAATTATGGTAATGGTGAGTCATTAAATTTAAGACTTGATCAATGACAGGAATAGCGATCGCAATGCAAAGACAAAAACAATGCTTAATAGTTGTCACCTTTTATGGGGACAACCAACTTTTTTTCCCTCTAGAGTCATAGACTCACGAGAGGTAAAAATATGGGGTCAAAAGTTGGAGCGTGGGCATGTAACAAATCCCATTCTTAAAGGAAAGTAAATGCTAGTCGAGCGACAAACTAGTGGAGTTGTGGCCTTGAAAACAATAAATAAATCGGATTATTAGTCAAACCCATTTCTTTCACTAAGAGGCAGAATTTGAGTTGAAATGAAAGGGCAAAATTTTTTTATACTTTTTACAACCTTGAATGGTAGATTTGTGTTAGTTACTGGTGAAATAATTAAACAAATAATCTTTTTTGTAAAATTAAAAAGGTACAGCAGCACACTCAGAGGGTAGCTTTTGGCCAAAAAATAATATCGCTTAAATGCTTACCTGTCACCATCATTTGCTTTTTACTTGCAAACTCTTAACAAACACACTCTCGCAAAACATGCAAATACGGCCCAACTCCTCGAAACGGTGTCGTAAAGAAGCCCAATTTAATGAGGAGTGGTAAACCACGCCACAAATCCCGCGTGGGTCATTGACATTCCAAATCAGGGCCGGCCAGCCCTGTCTTGTCCCCGCATCCGCCATTTTGCCCACTCTATTTCTCCCCAGCTGGTCCTTTCCAACTCCAACCAACCCTCCCCACCAAAGAAAAAGAAGAGAAAACCAGGAGAAACCTCCTACCCCTTCGCTTCAGTTCTCATTGTTTTTCTACTTCTCGTGAAGAAGGAAAAGAAAAGCATCTTTTAATCTCCCATGGAGTTCTCCAGAACACGTGAAGACCTCGTTTACATCGCCAAGCTCTCTGAACAAGCCGAACGCTTTGAAGGTCCGATCCAACCAAACAGGGCCTTATACTTTACTTCTTTTTCTTGTTTTTGTGACTTTTAAGTATTTGAAGTGTGGAATTTTTGTTTGTTACAGATATGGTGGCTACAATGAAAAAACTAGCGGAGCTTGATGTGGAACTGACCGTAGAGGAGCGAAACCTGCTCTCAGTTGGGTACAAGAACGTGATCGGTGCTCGAAGAGCATCGTGGAGGATCTTATCTTCCATTGAGCAAAAAGAAGAGACCAAAGGGAATGAGCAAAATGTTAAACGAATTAAAGGGTACAGGCAGAACGTGGAATTGGAGTTGTCCAACATTTGTAAAGATATTATGGGTGTGATCAATGAGCATCTCATTCCTTCTTGCATAGGAGGAGAGTCCACTGTGTTTTACTATAAAATGTGAGTATCATTTCCGGTTTTTGGGGTTGGTTGATAATGTGGTTATTTGGGGTTTTTCTGAGGTTTTTTTGGGGTTTGTTTGGTTGCAGGAAAGGGGATTATTATAGGTATTTGGCGGAGTTTAAGATGGGTGATGAGAGAAATGAGGTTGCTGATCAATCCATGAAAGCATATCAGGTAACTTTATTATGGTTGACTTGTGTTCAACTTGGCATAAATGAAGAATTTTGGCTTATAAATTGTTGGTTGTTTCGTGGAGATGTAAAAAGGTTGGTTTTTAAATGAACATTTTTTACTTATAAACTGTTGGTTGGTTGTTATATTTTCCTCATGCTATGTAAGGGGAATTTAGAATAGTAAAATGGCATTGCTTGCTTCCATCTTATTTGCACTAGTTTCTCTTTTCCTATTCTTGGGAGAAACTATTGGTGGTCAAGACTATGTGGCATAAGACAGAGGTGGAGTTCCTTGTGTGAAATCTGTTAGGTTCCTCAATGAAATCAAGCCATGTCTAAAAAATTATGGATTCCATTTCAACCGCATCCTAATTTTTTTTACTTTAGCACTCACTGTTGACCCTGCAATTTTAACACACAGCATGATTATATTAAGAAGCCTAACGAACATCTCATAAGGAATTTCACTGAAGTTTTACCAATGTACGAGATATTTTCTCTTTATTTCATTTCTTCTCACCCTGTATTGATGAACCAAATGTCATAGAGGAAGGGGAGTTTGGAAAAAAATTATTTCTTCTCACTGCCATATTTTTCTGAGGAAGCAAATTCTGTCTCACTGTTTTTTCCCCTGACTCTTAGACTAGTGCTATCCTTTTATGATGGCTGTTGGAATTATATTTGTTTGATTCCCTCTGCTGAGCTTGATAAGTTGTTTAACTTGTGCTATGAAATCCTAAGATGGCTAGAACACTTTTCAAAGGTCCAATCTATTATCATGCCAAATTTCATGAGTCTTTATGTTATTTGCTTGCAGTCAGCAACTACTACAGCAGAAGCTGAGTTGGCTCCTACACATCCAATTCGGTTGGGTTTGGCCTTGAACTTCTCTGTCTTTTATTATGAAATTATGAACTCTCCTGAAAGGTATGCATGCTGTTTCTTATGTAGTAACTTTCTAGTTGAGCTATTTCTGGATAATTGTTGAACTCCATGTTATGTGTTAAACTTGTACGCCAGGGCATGTCATCTTGCTAAGCAAGCTTTTGATGAAGCTATCTCGGAGTTGGATACTTTGAGTGAGGAGTCATATAAAGATAGCACATTGATCATGCAGCTCTTAAGAGACAACCTTACTTTATGGACTTCTGACATCTCAGAGGATGGAGGTGACTTTTAGATTTTGCACGGGAGAATGGTTTAACTACAATTTGCATCTTAATGTTACTTTAAGCATTCAAATAGTTGCGTGAGAAGTATTCTATGCCTTTCCTATTTCTGCAATTTAAAACTTTTCATCAACATTGGTATCTTTGGAATATTTCACCTTGCTATCTGTGTAATATAGTGGATGACATGTTTATAATACATTGCCATTTATGATCCAATTGTATTGATTGTATATGGTTCATAAAATGTCATGGAATATTATTTTTGCATGAATATTTAAAGCCTGGTAGTTAGATTCATGGCTTTTTAGATTTTGTTAGGGAGAAATATTGTTTGACAGCCATATGTGAACTAGATTTTGGTTTAGTTTAGTTATACCTTGATGTTGGAGAAAGAAGTTCATCATTCGTTAAGCTAGAACTAGTCATATAAGTTATTAAGGATTTGGTGCTCGTTAGTTTTTCTAGTAATTCGTGAGTTGCCACAAACTATAGCTGAGGTTAGGTTTCAAGAATAGGCAGTGAGTAGCTGTTGTTATTGATATGTCTCTGATCTGGTTTTCTTGGATTAATACATAACGATCTTGTTATTTGTAATTAGTACTAAACAGTGCCATTTATTTGTTTTACCACAGAAGAAGCTCAGAAGATTGGTGCTGCTAAAGGTGGTGACGGAGAGGAATGAAGTTGTCTAAGGTTTGTTGTTATCTCATGAAGAAACATTTCCGTCATTAAAAAGGAAAAAAAGGAAAAAAAGAATGAAGTGCAGTTTTGTAAACTACAGCTATTATTTTTTATCTATATTTATAGGTTTATTTTTGTGGTTATTGCAGTGGGTTGCAACCTGTGTCATGAAAGGAAGTAGCACCTCTGTAACTCTAGGAGTTACACCCAGTTTTCAGAAGAGTTTCAACTATTTTCATTTTCTGATTAGCATCTGGGTGTTTTAGCTATGACTGTTGGATGTTTGGACTGTCAAGTGTTGATTACATTTTTACATTTTCTGCAGCCTATCAAGTACATCCCTCTGAATCAAAATAGAAACACTTTCAGGGATACTTTTTCTGCTTCATTTGCTGCTTTGTTCATTGAAATTCCAAACCCATTTTTGGAAAAATTTTGAGACTCTTTTCTTGTCTGGTTTTGTTTAAATTTCTTTCTGAAGCCTATTCATTCATAGGCGTAATAATATATTGAGTTGAGCCTATAAGTTCATGGGCTTAGTAAACATGGTACATTTTGAGTATGAAGAATGCCCAATGCTTATGAGGCATATTTCCATCCATAATTGTAATAAATTAACACCGGATTAATATTTAAGTTGCAATCGAAATGCCCAAATATTTAGTATAGCTTTTAGTTGAAGAGCTATACTGCTTGGGAGTGGGTGGTCGTCTTCTCTTTCCTTTATTGATAAGTGGGGGGCAGGAAATTGAACTTGAAATTCTAATTTTAAATGTAGATTGTGACTAATCATTAAGTTATTGTCTCCAAAATCAGTAAACCCGACAATTTTGATAATTTCTCAAGAATTTTTAAAGATTTACATCTGTCATCTGACATCTACATGTTTCTTGGTGGAGAGAAAAAATGGGAGACTTTGAGGAGGATCCCAGACCAAGTCAGCTAATTCTAAGGGAATAATCAGAGAATTGGAGAATTGTCAGAGAGAAGGAGAGATAAGCGGGTCTAAGTACTTGTTCTACAAACAAGGAAGAAATGGCAGCCTCACGAAAATAACTGTCACTTAAATGCATAGCAGAACCAACTAGTAGCCCTACCCCCCTTTATAAAAGAAACAAGCTCTCTTGCTTCCATGTAGTTAATTTTTTGACATTGAATCTCCATTCCAAAACCAGAATACAAGTAAACAGGTTACAATGGCAACATCTCCCAAGGCTATCTTCTTCCTTGCCTCGGCCCTTTGCTTCTTATCCCTCCTCGGTATTGTTGATGCCCAAGCTCCTGAACAATTCTTCGTGGAGGGGAAGGTTTACTGTGACAACTGCCGCGCCCAGTTCGTAACCAAGATCAGCAAGTACATGGCAGGTAAACCACAATTTTCCTTTTCCTTTTTGAGGCCTTAATCTCAGTCTTCCATTTCTCAAGCTTCAACAAACCTGTGATAAAAATTTCGCATAAATTTATGAGGTTTCTTATGGCACATGGTAACGCATTAATCTGGTGGTAAACAGGTGCAAAGGTGCGATTGGAGTGCAGGGACCGTGAAGGCGGGGACATAACCTATTCCGTCGATGGTGAGACCGACGAATCAGGAACCTACCGTATTAAGGTGGAGGGAGACCACGAGGAGGAGGTCTGTGAGGTTTCACTCGTACAATCGAGCGACCCTGAATGTAGTGAGATCGACAAGGAAAATTTCCTTAGGAAGAGTGCTCGGATTAGCCTCACCAAATACAGTGGCATCACCTCCGACAGCCGCCTTGCCAACCCTCTTGGCTTCATGGTCAAGAAACGTCTGCCCGAGTGCACCGAAGTCCTCAGGGAACTAGGAATCACCGCTGCTGGCTTCGTATAAAGGAACCGCATTAGTTTATAGCAAAACAAAGTGAAAGTTCATCCATGTATCGAATAAGAAACTGAGTTTTCCCTTGGTTTTTCCCAATCTTTTTAGGCAATATCCTCTAGCCTAAGGATTACCCCATTAGTTATGAACCAGTACTCCTATTTATCATAGTTGGTGAGTTTTTGCAACAAGAGTTCCAAAGTCTGCTGTTCCTGCTATATATATCTTGCATGTACTGTGCTTATTGTTCAAAACAGCTGGATTTTTTACATGAAATTCATGAGGGATTCTAACATGGATGTTACTTCTTGCTTCTAACTGTTCGAGATGTTCAAATGCAACTTAATTTCATGAATGATCTGTCCTGAATTCGAGCTGATAATTGCTCTAAACCTTTTAATGTATCTGATAATTAATCTCTTGTGCAACGTTTTAATTGGATATGTACAAAGTTTGATCACTTGAAACTTAGAATCTTCATTTAGAGCCAACACAGATAAATGAATACATTTTGTATTTCAATATTCTACAAGTAATTTAACATTCTAATCCCTGGATTCCCTCCATGCAATCTCTCTCTGCAGTTTAAAACATAAAATTGTAATAAATATCTAAGTTGTAAAAATTCTCGTAACAAGTTAATTTAAACAAAATAAACATATTTTTAATGAAAAATAATCATTTACCTTTATATTCACAAGTAAAAAATATTTAAATCTTTACAAATATTAATTTATAAATGTATAATAATAAAAATCAAAACACTTGTAATTAAAATTAATTTTTTAAAAAATTGAATGTAAATTTATAAGAATAAATGTAAAAAATCATAAAGTTAAAATATTGATATAAATATGTAAAAATTATCATAACAAGTTAATTTAAACACATAAACATACTTTTAATGAAAATTAATCATTTTCAAATGCTAACGTAAATGTATTACCATGATCGGAAGGCGAACGGGTGCAAATACTTGTATAGTAATAAATCTAGAGAATGTTTTTTATGCCCTTTTCTAAAATAATAGTAGTAGTATGAATTTTGGGGACAAATGGCAAGCTGTGGAATCATTCAGGAGTTGATCCAACGGCTGATACAAGTTCTCAAGAAGTGTTAAATGACTAAGACCGTTGGTTTTCATATTAAAAAGAAAAGGTCGCTGCGCAAAGCCCTCAAATTCCAACTGTCGCTTGTTTTCTCTCTTCCCATTTCAGGAATCTCTTTAAACCCCCTTAAGCCCTGCCCTGAGCCATCCCTTTGGCACGTTCTTCAAGGCTCCAAAACAATGGATTTTAAACACGAAGATCCTGTCGAGATATGCAAGAAGGGAGAAGGGTTCTCAGGCTCTTACTACAATGCAACTTTTCTGGCTGCGATTGGAAGAAACAGATACTTGGTACGTTATGATAATCGTTTCAACGAGGACGGATATAGGAAACTCGTCGAAGCTGTTGACTCAGATGAAATCAGGCCTTTGCCCCCGAAGAGTGCTTATACCAATTTCGCCGTGTCCGACAGGGTTGAAGCCTTTGTCAACCTTGCTTGGCGGGTTGGGACTGTTACAAGAAAAGTTGATCCTAACTACTATGTGAAGTTGGATTGTGATGGGAGGGAAGAGCATTGTGCTTTCTATAAAGTTCGACTCCATCTTGAATGGCGAAATGGGAGATGGTCCTATCCTGGGAGTGGGTATGTTGCTTTCTTCTCCATTGTGTTCTTGACTTCTTGTCAAGTCTTTCGGTTCTTGGTCCTTCTAATTAATCGCTTCTATGTTAAGCACTTACCTGGCTGTGATATCCAAAAGATTTCTTTTTTGCATCTCCTATCGTGACTTTTGACTTGTCTCTTCCTCTGCTATTTCTAAAGAATCTTGGAAGTTGCTGTCAACTTTCTTCCTGGAAATTTTGTTGCAAATGCACTATATATTAAGATTCTTTTCAATTATTTTGTATTACACATTCTGCTTTGATTAGGTAACAAGAAAATTACCTATGCTAGTCTAGAAGGTAAGAATATGGAGTATATGAATTTCTTGAATGCCCAAACAGTGGTTCAACTTCTTTTAGTCTACTCTAGTCAATGGGGGCAATTAATATTGGTGTTTTCCATTGTTTCCAGCATTGGATTCCATTCTATGTTACGTTATAAGTGGAAATTCTTTACTACTATAGGGCGTCTTTTCTTGGAATATGCACCCATTCCGACGACATACCAACCACGCCCATATCAGTTAGGGCTTTCCCCTTCAATACCTGGACTAATACTATCAATAGGCAAATCTTGTTCTGAGATGGGCGTCCTGTTTAATTTCATTTCCAGCCCAACCCAGCTGAAATTTTGGAGCGTTATGGATTTAAACCAAATATCTATGTCTGAGCCAAGGCAATAGTTCGTCTGGACTTCAATTATTGAATGCAGTTAGACACGTGGCCAGATTTGCCACTCAAAGTATAAAAAATTCCATGCAATTGGGGATTTCTTTTTGTTGAATAAGTTGTGAGTTTCATTGATCAATCAGGGAATCCCTGTATCATACAAAAGGCTCCGACTTTGTAGTGTGGTCAGATGCCGAGATGGCTGACAAAAACTGCCATTACAAAGGAAACTATACAAAAGAAGCTATCCTATACAGAATCGGACATCCAAACCACCAGTGGAAGAAAGCTCTAGTCAGCAACCAGTAAGAAATGGAAGCAACAGACTTCCTGTTTCCATTTCTTACTGATATAAACCAGAATCAAGAGCCTAGGAGTCACAAGCAAAAACAGAACCTTCACAGAAACCTCACCAGAAGCATCAAAACCTCAAAATCATAAAAAAGAGCAAACGGGATCAGAAGAAAGCACCAACACCTCACAGTAGGAAGCAACTTCATTAAGGGTAGATACGTATCAGATCACCCACTGTTCCCACCCCATCCTTGGCAAGGCTATCGGTCATATCTTACCCGATCTCGGAACGTGTCTGATTTCCCAACCCAGCAACTTTGAACACAGTGAATTAATCTGAGAAACAATATTTCTGATCCTTCATGGGGCTGCAGCTGGTTTTGAAACCCAAAGGACTGCATTCATGGAATCACTCTCAAGAATAAGTCCAAAATTAGGAACCCGAGATGAAGGTGAAGACAAAACCACTGCCCCTCTAAGCTTTTTGCTTTTTGTGTTCTTTATCTCATAGGTCTATGACTTGAACATGTGTTTTATGCAAAATCCACTCTGTTTCCTCTACAGTGAGTTAATTATGAGGACTCGTTGTATTTAGTCTAATTCGACTCTGTTGGTTGGTTTCATCAGGTCTCAAAGCAGCCAAGCAAACACATCAGCGCAAGGAGGTCAGCCTGCAACTGGAGGCAACATAGCTGACACAGGAGATCAGCGGGAGCAGGCTAAAAGTGAGGGTGACCAACCAAAACCAGGACAAGGAAGAGGCTAGTCGACAACTCCAGATGCTTCCACAGAACATCTTTTTTTTTCTTTCTTATTTTTTTATAGGCTGATAGTAGAACAAAGTGCATAGAAACATTGCTGATGAGCCTTGTTTTGCAGCTTCATGGCACAAAATGGGCTAATTTTCAGTACCCTAGATATTGGTTTACTATAGCATTTGACAGTAAGTAATTAGTTACTGCGATGTTCAACCATTCTAAGTTTGATCCTATGGCAATTACTAATTGCTTTCAGATGACTCTGAACATGAACTGTATATACCTCTTTCTTGTTGGTTCATTTTTCCTTCCCCTGCTTTATCCTAACATTTAAAGATTAATTTCTTTCAAATAGGTTGCCCTCTTTGTTACTCTTTACATATGCTGTTTCTGTTTTACAATGGCATCATCAGTCACTTGAATCTCCAATCCTCACTCTATTTTGGTTTTCATTCATTGTATCTAATTACCTAATACTAGTTATATATATCTTGCATGTAACGTGCCTGTTGCTCAAAACAGCTGAATTTTTACAAGAAATTCATGAGGGATTCTAACATGGATACTGCTTCTTGCTTCTAACTGGTTGAGGTGTTCAAATGCAACTGATATTCACGAATGATCTGTCATGAATTTCACCTGATAATTGATTTAAATAAAACCCTTTTATTGTATCTGATAATCAATCTCTTGTTCAACGATTTAATTGGATATATATAAATTTTGATAATTTGAAACTTAGAATTTTCATTTAGAACCAACACAAATGGATGAATATAGTTTCTAACTCAATATTCTAGAAGTAATTTAACATTTTAATCCTTGAAACCTCTTTGTGCGGTTTGAAAATCATAAATTATAGTAAATATCTAATTTATAAGGATTACCGTAACAAATCAATTTAGATTAAATAAATATATTTTTATAAAAAATTAATCTTTTACATTTATTTTCTTAAGTAAAAATTATTTAACCAATTGAAAATATTAATTTATAAATGTATAATAATAAAAGTAAAAACATTTGTAATGAAAATTAACCATTTAAAAATCTTACTGTAAATTTACAAAAATAAATGTAAAAAATTATAAAATTAAAATAAATATTATTAAAATATTAACATAAATATAAGAGTTACGGTAAGAAATCAATATAAACAAAATAAATATACTTTTACTGAAAATTAATCATTTTATATTTATATTTTCGAAAAAAAAATATTTAATTATTTACAAATGTTAATTTATAAATATATAATAATAAAAATAAAAACACTTGTGACGAAAATTAACTGTGGAATTATACAGGAGTTGATCCAACGGCTGATACAACTTCTCAAGAAGTGTTAAATGACTAAGGCCGTTGGTTTTTATATTAAAAGGCAAAGGTCGGTATACAAAGCTCTCAAATTCCAACTGTCGCTGATCTACTCTCTTCTCATTTCAAGAATCCTCTCTAAACCCCCTTGCACCCTGCCCTGAGCCATCCCCTTTGCTCGTTCTTGAAGGCTCCAAAACAATGGATTTGAAATACGATGATCCTATTGAGATATGCAAGAAGGAAGAAGGGTTCTCAGGCATTTATTACAATGCAAAATATCTGGCTGCGATGGGAAGTAACAAGCACTTGGTACGTTACGATACTCGGCTAACCGAGGACGGATATAGCCCTATCGTCGAAGCTGTTGACGCAGATGAAATCAGGCCTTCGGCCCCAAAAACTGCTCATAACATCGTCCTGTCCGACAAGGTTGAAGCCTATGTCAACCTTGCTTGGCGGGTTGGGACTGTTATAAGAAAAGTTGATTCTAACTACCATGTGAAGTTGGATTGTGATGGGAAGGAAGCGCATTGTGCTTTCTATAATGTTAGACTTCATCATGAATGGCGCGATGGGAGTTGGTTCAATCCTGGAAGTGGGTATGTTGCTTTCTTCTCAGTCGTGTTCTTCTATGACTTCTTGTCAAGACTTTTGGTTCTTGGTCCTTGAAATTAATCGCTTCTTTGTTAAGCACTTACCTGGTAGTGATACCAAAAACATTTCTTTCTTGCATCTCTTATTGTGACTTTTGACTTGTCTCTTTCTCTGCTATTTCTAATTGGTTAGAATCTTGGAAGTTTCTGTCAACTTTCTTGAATTTTTGTTGCAAATGCACTATATATATTAGGATTCTTTTCAATTATTTTGCATTACATATTCTGCTTTCATTAGGTACCAAGAAAATCACCTATGCTAGTCTTGTAGGCAAGAATATGGGTAAATGAATTTCTTGAATGAAACAGTAGTTCAACTTCTTTTAGTCTACACTAGTCAATGGGCAATTAATTTTGGTTTTTTCCATTGTTTCCAGCACTGGATTCCATTCTCTGTTACCTCATAAATGGAAATTCTTTAGTACTATAAGGCGTCTTTTCCTGGAATATGCCCCCATTCCATCGATATACCAACCACCCCCTCGTCAATTAGGGCTTTCCCAGCAATACTATCAATAAGCAAATCTAAATCCAGGATGGGCATCCTGTTTAATTTCATTTCCAGCCCAACCCAACTGAAATGTTGCAGATTGATGGATTTAAACCAAATATCTATATCTTAGCCAAGGCAATGGTTAGTCTGGACTGAAATTATTGAATGCAGTTAGATAAGTGGCCAAATTTGCTGGTCAAGTACAAAAAATTCCATGCAATAGGGTATTGCTTTCTGTGTTTTTTATCTTAAGAGTTCTATGACTTGAGCATGTGGTTTATGCATAATCCACTCTGTTTCCACTACAGTGAGTTATGAGGACTGGTTTTATTAACTCTAATTCGACTCTGTTGATTGGTTTCATCAGGTCTCAAAGTAGCCAAGCAACCACATCAGCGCAAGGAGGTCAGCCAGCAACTGAAGGCAGCATGGCAGACACAGGAGATCAGGGGAGGCAGCCTAAAAATGAGGGTGACTAACCAAATCCAGGACAAGGAAGAGGCTAGTCTACAACTCTAGATGCTGCCACAGAACATCTATCATTTTTCTTTCTTTTTCTTTTATAGGCTGATAGTAGAACAAAGTGCATAGAAACATTACTGATGAGCTTTGTTTTGCACAAAATGGGCAAATTTTCAGTACCTTAGAAATTGGTTTACTATAGCATTTGACAGTAAGTAATTAGCTAGTGCCATGTGCAACCATTCTAAGTTTGAACCTATGGCAATTACTAATTACTTTCAGATGACTCTTAACATGAACTGTATATACTTCTTTGTTGCTGGTTCATTTCTCCTTCCCCTGCTTTATCCTAACGTTTCAAGATTAGTTTCTTTCTAATAGGTTGCCCTCTTTGTTATTCTTTACATGTGCTATTTTTGTTTTATAATGGCATCATCAGTCACTTGAATCTCCAATCCTCACTCATTTTGGTTATCATTCATTGTATTTAACTACAGATACTTGATAACCATTAACAAGAATGTAGGATTTCATCCATGCACTTGGCAGGAATCTCGTCGCAAACTGTCCTTTTCGAATGAACTTTATTCGACAAAATAGATTTAAAGAACAGTACAGGACTGTGTTGAAAGGCTTACTACGGAATATTATTCTTGTTCTTTCTCATGTTATATACTCATTCAATGCACTTGTTTACTCTTGAAGATATCCACACCAGTTTCAACTAATCCGTAGGAATTTAATTACCTCATGCTAGTTGTTGATAAGATGCCTAACTCTATACCTAAAGGCATCTGTGTTTTCTGTTTTCCAACCCAGAGGCAAAAGGGGAATACAGAAAACAAAGAATGAACGCCATAGTGGTTCAGATTCCCAACATAACCTAGCAATTCAAAACCAGATAATCAAAGATGAGTTTGAAGCAATAGGCTGCCCTTTTGGTTTTCAATCTTTTTTCAAGTCACCAGTTTATATCCGTACACAAGAGGGATCAAATAAGAGGTGTTGCCTATCCTATCAACCATCAAGTTTGTTGAGAGATAGTGATAGTTTTCGGCCTGCTGGTGCCTTTATTGGACTAGTTGGTCATCTTTTTCTTTGGGGGAAAAAGAAAAAAAAGGGGGACAGATCAGGGCTAGCTCTACCGTTAAAAATGACATGGAACTCTCACTGTCTCGTTGAATACGACTCAAGCCAAGTTTGTCCGTCACGAAACAGTACCACTTTTCACTGAATAAGAGCAAGAAGAATCAATGCCTGAAGACATGAACAATCCTTCTTTTCATGAATTCCAACCCAAAGTCCATTGGTAACGAAATGAAACAAAAACCTCTTACATCTTTTAAGGGTAAGGTCTCACCTTATCCCAAACATGATCAATATGGAATCTATTTGTTACCCAGGAGCACAAAAACAAAAGAAAAAGGAAGAAGAAAACTATAGTATTCGACTAAAAATGTGGACTTGCCTAGATGAATAGCTGTCTAATTTACAACCCTTTTGTTTCCTGGTAGGGCTATATAATTCTTTGATTGAAGATCCAATGACATCATCCTTTTTGGGTTACTAGATAGATAGATAGATACATCAAAATCTTCAATGAATATGGATTTTGATGGGATTAGAATTCTTCCCCACTTCCAGGCTTTGCTCCGACATCTCAACGTTATCCATTGAATCTTTAATCTTTAGCAGTTTACATGTGCATTAGCTTGCGTGAATCATGCATCAACCGTTGTTGTCCGAAGAATAATTGCCATTCTGTGCCCCCATCTTATGATTCGTCTAATTTCGCACGTGCATAATCAAGATGATGATGATGATGATGAACTTGCCGGTGATCTCAAATATTGTTAATTAAATTGGATCATGGACTCCTCGGTGGGTTGATTTTGGCCTAGTGACATTACCACATGAAACCCTCATGATCAGCGATTAGCACATTTCTCCTAATTAAATTTCAAGGCAGGATTTGATTAATCATTGATTCTCCCTTGCTGCACCGCAATTTGGAAACACTAATCCCTAAGGTACATCTACTTAATCCAAAACTTTTTTGATTTTTACACATTTTTTAATATTAAATTAAACAATACTAACATTTGAAGACTAGCATTAGTGGACTAATTAAGCAAAGACCAGCCTGTATTTACATTAGTCTATAGTCCGTACAATTTTTTAATCTTTGTTTGAAACCTTTTCCAAGCAAGAGAAAATTGATAAGATAAGAAATACTATTGAATATCAATAAGGTTGACCACCTGAGCAGCTGATCCGCCTCCGCTTCATTGGGAAAACTTGCCGGAAACCACCATTCGCTGCCGCTACCTGCCACTCATCCAGCATCATCCCTTCCAACTCAAACTGGTGCACCCCACTAGACCCATCATACAAGCACCCTTCCGCGAACCCACCAAGATCACGACCAGCGGCTTAGCTTTCCGGCGACCAGCCCCCACCGGAACGTTCCGAAGAGCCCACCCTGCCGTCCAGTACCTCTGGCAACCTTTACAGAAATGTCTAGGTGGTTAACGTTGTAGTTATTGAAGTAACAAAATTTGGTCTCCATGCTTTTGCATCTAGGACTGGTATGATCTTGTCTGGCCTCTTATCCAAGGCCGGATGATCAGCTTTGTTTTGTTCCTCTTTTACTTGTCTTCCATGCAACGTAATCGTTGTCCCAAATAACTTGATCCCTTGCCCTTCTTGGCTAGCCATGACCATTAGAGAAAGAGAGACAAGGACAAAGACAGAGACAGGGTACAAAAGAGATGAGCGTTTCTTTGGTTTGGGCCGAAAGGGGTGTATGAGCGGTTATATATACGGGGAGGAGAGAGGGTGGGGGGGAAAAAGTGCTGGAAATTGAAAGGAAAAGAAGCATGTGAGGCCAGAAGCCGCCAATGCCAATAACCAGGTAGGTGGCGTGGAAAAGCTGATGATGAGCTTTTTGTCCACATCATTACTCCACGTCATCAATATTCAACATATAAAAAAGTCCGAAAGTGGGTCCCAATCCAGGTAGGTTTGCGTACAAAGTGTCAAAGTGATGGAGAATTGGAGCATAAAGGGATAAAGTTTCGGTTCCGATGGGGTTTCATTTTTCTACTATATATTCTATTTCAAACCAAAAAAAAATATGTAGGGAGGATAAAGCCAATTAAATCCTTCCCACTTTGGGTTTGGAAATCTGGAATTCATTTGATTGTTTACTTTTCATTGATTTCTTTCTAAGATTATATAAATCCAATAAAGGAGAGACTGTAGCTAAAAGAGAAAAGAGAGAATTCCACTAGCTAGCTGCATCCTGCATGAAATGATGGATACAAGCTGATCAATTTGATAAGAGAAAAACTATGGGTGCTTTAAAAGAATAACAATGAGCTTTTTACTCTGGGGTTGCCTGCTTGTGTTCCAAATCAATGGTAATTAAAATTTTCCCAATCCATAGAAATTAGCTTTTATGTGAAAGCTGCTTTTTAAATGCTTTAAAAGAAGTCTCATGTCCAATCAGATTCCACCAGTCCTCTAACTTGCTTCCCAGCAAGCAATGCATCATCATCACTTGTTATTATACATACAAAAATAAATAAATAAACTTTATAAAAGACAAAAGAAACTAAGTGGGTCAGAATTCATATCATAAAAGTTTTCATAGTAATCCTTAAAGTTGGAGACAGATTATGGAATTGCAATTCCTTTTTTTTTTTTTTAATTTGCTTCATGCATGCGACCTTTTTCAGGTTTCAATGGATTTCGATCCATCACTTGCTTGTTGGGGTGGCCCTGGAAGCTCTCCAATCTCCATAGCTTTCATCAGTTTGCAAACATTTTAGCAATGGAAAGTAGTTTTCATGATATACGGGCTTTTGATTTGTCCAACACCTCTTTATTTAATAAAGGATCCTCATTAGATTAATGCAAAAAAGCAGCCTCATTTCCGTTACCTTTTCCAATTATATAATGTAGACAAAGAAGCATTTTCGTTCCTCTTTGTTGAAAAAAAAAAATAAAGATGAACTTTTTCTTTTCGATGCTTTGGAACTCTCTTTTTGATTAAAAAAAGTTAAAGAGAAGATTAAAGGGGAAAAAAAAAGATATCTTTTTAATGGGAGTGCCCTTTTCACGTCCTTGAGCAAAAGAATTGCTTTGGGTTAACCCAAAGGGAGTGTCCTAATCAAGTTTGGGTTAAGATATTTTGTTTCAAGGAAGGGGATGAAAAAGATATATTAATTTGCAGCAAGTTGCTATGTTGTGCTTCTTGAATGTATCAAGTTGCTTTAATAAAATGAAAGTAATTAAGAAAGTCTCTCTCTCTCTCTCTCTCCACTCTTCTTTATTGCTTTTTATTTAATTATTTACACTTTTTTTATCTTTCCTTCACCAATCAATTCTAGTTTGGGAGCAATTGCAAAACTATAGGGTTAATATAATAAGGAAAAACAAAGTTGTTCATTAAGATAATAAGGCCTCGTGTAGATGCATGTATGTTTTTCCAAACGACAGTAGTACATTTCTTAACAATGTGGCATAGCCTAGCCTAGCCCTGTGGAACCCATCTCTCAGCTTTGCCCGCATGGCAAGAGTGCCAAAACAAAAGGCTTTAGCCTAAGAAAGGGACAATTGATTCTTGGGTTTGAGCCAAAGCTTTGAAAGCTTCCACAACTTTTTGTGGCCAACTTTTAAAGAGTTGGAGATGGGCAAATCGCAAAAAGATTCATGCATGTTTTTATTGCACCTTCTTTTCTTTTTTTTTTTGCTTTTTTTGGGTTAAAAGTATATGTAAATCTTTCTCAATTCTTTTATTCTTTTTATTTATTGTTCTTTGACCAATTACTAACGAATAACAATGTAAAGGCAAAGTTCTCCCTAAAGCTTTAGTTAATTCCCTTGGTTATTATCCCGATCCTTTTACAATGAAATGGCGCATATAATCTTGTTAATGAACTCTTTTTCCATAGTGGCAAAGATCCTTTGCATAATCTCTACTGCCCAATATCTTTATTTTAATCTTAATTTATGATCCCAAATTTGCATTATTAATTGTGTCATCAAGGATTAATGAAGTCCCTTTGTTCTTAAGTTTCTTTCTTCTCTCAAATTTGCAGCTGGAGTTTTGGCCTCTAGCGTGTGGCGAATGCTATTCATTGCCT